CTTTGCTACAATGTAAAGTAGTGAGTGTACAGCTTGTATAACAGTGTAAATTTGCTGTCCCCTCAAAATAACTCAACACACAGCCATTCATGTCTAAACCGCTGGTAACAAAAGTGAGTACACCCCTAAGTGAAAATGTCTAAATTGGGCGCAATTAGCCATTTTCCCTCCCCGGTGTCATGTGACTCGTTAGTGTTACAAGGTCTCAGGTGTGAGTGGGGTGCAGGTGTGTTAAATTTGGTTTTATTGCTCTCACTGTCTCATACTGGTCACTGGAAGTTCAACTTGGCACCTCATGGCAAAGAACTCTCTGAGGATCTGAAAAAAAGAATTGTTGCTCTACATAAAGATGTAAATAAGTGTCCCAAAAAAAATATATGTCCAAAAAATATATTGTGTAAAAATAAAGTCCAAAGGTGAAGAAAAATGTGACAATCCACCACCATATATACTAAGCTCACCAGAGCTGAATGCTGATAATAAATCAGCATAAAACGCTAATTGCTCTGGGAGTGATGGTCAGCAGGATGATAAGCCACTAGTTGATTTTGAACCTTGATCTCCAGGGGGTGATATTCTGCAGAAGCCAGCTCCAAAAAAACGATGTAAAGGAAACAATAATCTGTAATCGAATATACCACTAAGAAAATCCACTTCTTCTAGACTCCACCATATCCATATCCAAAGGGTTTTAGGCCAGACACTCGGAAAAGAATAGTATCTGCTCCGTGAGGATGTCGATGATGAAACGCATATGGCAGGGTTTTGATTGATGTGACGTCATTACGTTTCCCAGCGGTCTACGGCGCATGTGCTGAGTGGCTGCATTCATCCATTGTATTTTACATGCTGTTAACGCTGGTGTTGGCTAGGACACCTTTTGAGTTAAGTGCGATGAGTGCATAATAAATGAAGTTGTTTTAAAAGGTACTGCACTATGAAGCTGTTGTTGTTCTTTTCCGAGTGTCTGGCCTAAAACCCTTTGGATATGGATATGGTGGAGTCTAGAAGAAGTGGATTTTCTTAGTGGCATATTCGATTACAGATTATTGCTTCCTTTACATCGCTTTTTTGGAGCTGGCTTCTGCAGAATATCACCCCCTGGAGATCAAGGTTCAAAATCAACTAGTGGCTTATCATCCTGCTGACCATCACTCCCAGAGCAATTAGCGTTTTATGCTGATTTATTATCAGCATTCAGCTCTGGTGTGTTTAGTATATATGGTGGTGGATTGTCACATTTTTCTTCACCTTTGGACTTTATTTTTACACAATATATTTTTTTGGACATATATTTTTTTGGGACACTTATTTATTTTTTTATATTTATATTTGTTTTTTTGGGATATTTATTTGTATTTATTTACTAGCGCAAATTATTTCTGTTTCTTTGGTTATACACTTTATTAATATAGGGTGGAGTTTGCAGCTGGTAGATTGGATAGTGATCCATTAATACCTTTTCTATAGGCGCCATTATATTCACTTATTGTTTCTACATAAAGATGGCCTAAGTTATAAGAAGATTGCCAAGACCCTGAAACTGAGCTGCAACATGGTGGCCAAGACCATACTGCAGTTTAACAGGACAGGTTCCACTCAGAACAGGCTTCGCCATGGTTGACCAAAGAAGTTGTGTTGACGTGCTGGCATCATATCCAGAGGTTGTCTTTTGGGAAATAGACGTATGAGTGCTGCTAGCATTGCTGCAGAGGTTGATGGGGTGGGGGGGTCAGCCTGTCAGTGCTCAGACCATACACTGCATCAAATTGGTCTGCATGGCTGTCATCCCAGAAGGAAGCCTTTTCTAAAGATGATGCACAAGAAAGCTGATGAACAGTTTGCTGAAGACAAACAGACTAAGGACATGGATTACTGGAACCATGTTCTGTGGTCTGATGGTTCAGATGGTGTCAAGTTTGTGTGGCGGCAACCAGGTGAGGAGTACAAAGACTAGTGTGTCTTGCCTACAGTCAAGCATGGTGGTGGGAGTGTCATGGTCTGGGGCTGCATGAGTGCTGCTGCCACTGGGGGAGGCTACAATTCATTGAGGGAACCATGAATGCCAACATGTACTGTGACATACTGAAGCAGAGCATGATCCCTTCCCTGGTACGGCCCTCTGAGGAGAGAGAAGAGGATTATATCATAGGGGTTGGCAGAGGACCTTTGATTTCAGGGTGTCATCGCAGTATGGGATCAGTGGTCCCCTGCACTGGAACTAGTGGCAGTAAGGGACTTGGAGGGGGTACTACGCAAATATGTGTCTTCCCCAGGTAAGGGGCTGGGGGGCTATCAAAATGGGTTAGAGAAGGTAAAAAAAAATAGTTTTTGCCTAGAGTGGAAATTTAACACCTAGAACTCTTTGTGGCACAATAATTTGAGTGTGCCTCTTGACTAGTGTTGAAGGGGAACGTTATGTTTTATGTTTTTCTCTATAGCTGGCCCTTTCATGGAGTGTTATCTGATCCTATTCTGTACTCACTGCATGTTTTTTGTTCAATGCAGATGGCTGAATGGGAAAAAAAACTGACAGATCGCTATACCAACACAAGTGATGTTGGTGTGGTGATCTTCTATGGAATTCTGACAGAGGGCGGCTTCACCCCCAATTAGCTGCAAAGCACTGATTGGTTTTCCAGCATGCCCGTGTGACAAAAGCCAGTCGCAAGACCGGCTTCTGTAGAACAAATAGCTGTACGTACTGACCGAATGTCAGCCTGTTCCTGAACCGGACGATTTTCAGACTGTGTGTACCCAGCTTTACCTATTGTTAAATAAAAATAGGTTTAATTATTCTTTTGTAGAAGACGATGACTTACCCTGCAGAGTTTCTTCTATTAATAGCGTGTAAATATTAAACGTGCATATGCTGTAGTTTTTACAGTATATCTAAAGGCAAAAAATTTTTTTTTCCAATTTTCGATAGCGTAGAGGAAGGTAAAAACTGTTTTTGAATTTTTATTTGTCGTTTGTGTCTCAGAGAAATTCCCTTTACTTCCTATCCTGTAGACCCAAGAAAGTGAGAGGATATCTTTCTAGTGTGAGGAAAATCTCCTTCATGTGTCCCAGCTGAAAGATTTCCTCTCTATGCCTGTTCTGGGGACAACTCAAAATTTTGGATTTGGCCTCACTTTTATTCCCAGTGTCATTAGTGAGCAGGGCATTTAGAGAGTGAATCGCTGTAATGGGACTTCAAAATAATGGTGTTTTCTATGCACCTTTCTTAAGGTGATTGTAGATGTATTATGTCCCTCTTTCGACAATACAATTGAATAGTGCAATTAAAGTATAATCAACAGTAACCGTTAAAGAATAAGTTCATTTTTAGGTGCATGCTACACCCATATTTAGCTTGTAACCTGCTCCAGCGTTCCCATCTTCTGCTGACAGTGCTCCCCTCTGTGCAACAGCGGGCCCAGGTCCTTCTTCTCACACCCGCTGTCGCATTTTGAAAACAGCGCAGCCTTATGGGGCTCCGCCCACAAAGCTGTGTCATTCATTCACAGTTTTCTGTGAATGAATAGACTACAAGTACCATTGTGGTTGACGGCTTGTAGTTCTCAATGAACTGTGGGGGATGGAGGACTCTTCTTGCTACCAGGTAGCAGCTTACCCGTAGCGGAAGTAGGGGCAGACAGCTATCTTGATATTCTGCAGAAGCTTTCCATTTCACCCGTGATCTGCCAGCTCCTCAGAAAAAAGTAATAAACACATTTTAATCTTTTTTTTTTTTTTTTTTTTTTTTTTTTTTTTTTTTTTTGGCCTGCAAAATAATTGCATTTTTTTTATCAAAAGGTGAACTTACCCTTTAATTTGACTGAAAAAAAAGTAGACCTCCAAAATCATGCCCTGAAAGATGAGCGACGAACTCTGTGCAAATAAAACATTATTGCTTTTGTGTAGGGCAGCGGTTTCCAAACTGTGGTTTACTGTGGTCTTCAGACCTTTGCATACCTTCATCCGGCCCTTGGCAGTATTCCTCTCACTGATACGGGGCACTGTTCCTCCCACTGACACCAACGATGGGGCACTGTTCCTCCCACTGACACCAACGATGGGGCACTGTTCCTCCCACTGACACCAACGATGGGGCACTGTTCCTCCCACTGACACCAACGATGGGGCACTGTTCCTCCCACTGACACCAACGATGGGGCACTGTTCCTCCCACTGACACCAACGATGGGGCACTGTTCCTCCCACTGACACCAACGATGGGGCACTGTTCCTCCCACTGACACCAACGATGGGGCACTGTTCCTCCCACTGACACCAACGATGGGGCACTGTTCCTCCCACTGACACCAACGATGGGGCACTGTTCCTCCCACTGACACCAACGATGGGGCACTGTTCCTCCCACTGACACCAACGATGGGGCACTGTTCCTCCCACTGACACCCAACGATGGGGCACTGTTCCTCCCACTGACACCAACGATGGGGCACTGTTCCTCCCACTGACACCAACGATGGGGCACTAATATTTCTCCTAATACCAAAGATGTGACATTATCTACTTCCACAGGCCGTGGCCCGGCCCTCCAAAAGTGTGAAGCACAGTAAACTGGCCCTTTATTTAGAAAGTTTAGAAACCCCAGGTGTAGGGAACAATAAAAGGAGATACTTACCCAATCCTATTCTTCATGCAGCTAAATCAGTACCTGCAGCTTTTGCACCTCCATGCTCTAACAGTCTAGGATCCTGATGTCATCAAAACCATAGCAGAGTCCGTACATCCTTCGGAACATGCATATCTGTCTCCGTACATTGCTTGTCTGCTTTTTTTGAACTGATCTGCTCTGACTAAACACTGTATTTCATTATTTAGTTTACTATATTCTATTCATTAAAAGGATGCTTTGTTTTCAGGAATCTTTTGAATTTCCTAGAAAAATATGCAATGCATTACTTCAGTTACTTTATTTCTGTATTCTTTGTAAACTTTATTTTGAATAGTATAAATTGCCTGGTTCTTTTTTTTTTGCTATAAGTTTAATGCATAATATTAGACTCGTCGTTAGGAAAGCTGAAGGCGTCGTAGCCTTGAATTCACCTGTTTTGTCTTTGCACACAGGAGGACAACCTCATAAAAGGAGAAGAACATCTGAACCGCTTGAAATAGAAGGCCGCTTGGAGTCATTGATTTGTAGAGTTGGAGAGAAGGTAACCATTTAGATGCCAACCCAAACCTTCCTAGCCCCCCAAAAACTTGAGCCCCTGCATACAAACATAAACACATCGAGGCTCCTACGCACAAAAACATTGTTTGCGGTTCACATTGCACATATAGATTTTACAGTGCGATATATCTAGTCCCATTAATCATTGTTACTCTGGACTTATGATCTGTAGTGGCTTTTAAAACACTGCTCATGGAAAATGTACGGTACCAAAATTTGGTGGGGTGCAAATCGATGCCAATGCTAAGACTCATTAAGCTGTCAGCGGGGTTCCCCTGCTGACAGCTGAAGTGCAAACAAGTCTGGGAAAAAAAAAAAAGGGAAAAAAAGCAGCTGTACAATGTTTATCAGCAACCTTGCTCAACCTAAAGGAGAAAGCTACAAAGAAACATTGTTTCATTTTGTATCTTTCCGTATATTCATCTACAGATCAAAGGGATGAACTTCATTCTGCAGTTGAAGTCAAGTCCATTTTAAAAATGTTGCTGACATGTAGGGTATTTGTGACAGAAGAGTCCCTGTTGGTCTCTTCTGTTAAATGCATCCTCCTGCCGTTCAGCTGTCATGTACACTGAGCCACGCATGCGCAGCTCACCAAACATTTACGGCCCCAATCCGTGCCGCAGCGATGTGACTCCCATGCTCATGCATGGGAGAGGCGTCATCGTGGCCGGGCCTATCGCAAGGCCGAAGGCAAAGGACCCAGGAGGAAGACTGGGTGAAAATCGAGTGAAAGTGCATTTTGTTTTTTTTTTTTAGTTTTGTTACATTTAATTGTGTAAGGATTGTGAAAGAAATATTGTTACAAGGCAATATTCGCGAAGAGAAAGCATTGTTTGTTCTTAGAAAAACAATATATGTATTACATTGTCTTAAGTAAAGACAGAGATACCACCAAATAAACAGGTCCATAGCAGAAATGTAAAGATTTGCTTTGGTCCATATGGGGTGAACAAGTGTGAAAGCTGAAATGGTTAAGGAGTGGGGCTGCTGCATGCTTAACAACCAATCACTTGTTCAGCTGTCATTGGGGTTCTGCTGCTGACAGCTGAAAAGTAAACAAGATAGTTGCCAGCAGGTATCGGTAATTGGTATCGGCGAGTACATTAAAAAAAATAAAAAATTTTATTGTATCGGTGCATCCCCTAATTTTGCTTAATATGTGGTCTTTATGGAGCGTCTGTGTTAACTGTAAATCAAACCTTGTGTTTTTTTTTTTTTTTTTTTTTTTTTTTCTTTTTCTCAGAGCTCATCATCACTGGAAAGTAACTTGGAGGGCCTTGCTGGTGTCTTGGAAGCTGATCTACCGAACTATAAAAGCATTATCTTAAGAATCCTCTGTTCCGTGTAAGTGTGTGTCCTCCATTAATATGGAATGGGTTCTAAAATAGTGTTATTTAAGTTTGTCACCTTACAGCTGGTCTCTATTACACCACAAATCAGTAATATAGTGAATTCATTTGTACTCATGCTGCTCCATTAACCTCTTGACGCCGACTGTATGCAAATTAGCAGCTTCACAGAACTTGGCATTTTTGCCGTGGGGCCGTTAAGATGTATACCTGTCTTTCTGCTGGGAGCATGCCGCATGGACCTGTAAATCCCGATTCCGGGTCACCTGATCTCTGTGATAGCCTCTGATTGGATATCACAGTGATCAGTCCCTATGAAGCCCGTCCCTCTTGTTTTCTCTCTCTGAATGGAGGAGAGAGGTGCATTGTATCTCTGTCCTTTCACAGAGGAAAAAAACAAGTATATTTAAAAATAAATAGAAATAATAATAAAAAAATAAACAAAAATACCCAGATCAAGGTTTGATCTAGGTCTGTGTCAGGGTTAGTGTTTGGGTCAAGGTCAGGTGGGTTTTTTCTGTTTTTTTTTTTTTTTTCTTTAATTAGTATCAGTGTCGGGATAAAAAAAAAAAAAAGCAAAATGCTCACTATTGCAATATGCTCACAACAACTAACATACACACATGGGGTATCTCTGCGATCGTCAGGAGCAAGAGAAATTATTTTGGGTTGTTCTTTGGTGGTAGATTATGGTAGTAGCAAGAAATATACAGCTAAATGTTAAAGAATGTTGTGGTTTTTTTTTTTTTTTTTTTTTTTACCATTTTTTTTTTTGGCCAGTTTTTTCCTTTTATTAAAAAAAAAAAAATCGGGAGATATCTAAAACCATTTACCACCAAATGAAAGCCCAATCTGTCCTGGAAAAAAAGGTATAATCCACCTGAATGCACAAAGTAGTTGTGATATGTACGGTTTTAGTAACACATGTCAAAGTTGCAAAATTGTGCTTGGGCAGTAAAATTTGTTTTACCCCTAGGCACGAAGGGGTTAAAGTAATAATTCTCTTATAACTAGCTTACAATAAAACCTAAAATGTACGTGCAGTAACACTTCTTTTTTTTTTTTTTTTTTTTTTTTTAAATCTCTATGTACTTAATGGAACGGTAAGAACCTCTCTGATTTTATTTCAATCTGAGGACTCCCTTCACTTCTCTTCCCTGTCACAAATTGTCAGCTAGACAGTGGAAGTAGAAGAATGTCCAACAGGGATACAGATGGCCACAGAGCAGTAAAATGTCTGTAGGTCAAGTGAAGCTAGTCCTGCCACTGTAAACAGTACAGGTGATGCAGCCACATTAGTTTGGTAAAGAGAATTCTGTCACCCCTGGAAGTGTCACCTGCTATCCCAATGTGAATACATTCACATGTTTTTTTGTTTTTTTTTTTTTTATTGGCGGCTTCAGCTGTTGATCACTGGGTCCCGGCTGGTGATTCCCTGCCGGCGATCACCGAGTGTCACTGACGGGAGAGAGGTCTGTATGTAAACAATACAGATCTCTCCCCTGTTGGCTCCAGCACACTGCTTTGTATTGTTCTGCATATTTGACAGGTACCCTCTCCCACTTCTGCTGCGATTGCCTAGGCGATCGGAAGCGGGAGTTGTCCTTTGTCCTCCCTCCCTGGAGTCTTCTGGGACACGTGACAGGTCCCACAACACTACGGGGCCATTCCCAAAGTTCAGCGCTTCTCCCATGCTCAGTGGGCACCCAGCTGGGATGCCGCAAGTTGTCACAGCTGGGTGCCCACACTGAAGATGCCGTGGAGAGAAGATGGCCAGTGAAACCAGCGGTGATGAGGACACCGCTGGACCGAGGAACTGTTAAGACCGAGGAGCAGGTTCTGCTACACAAAAGAGCCGAAGGGCTGGCCTGGTATTCTAACATGGTGGCGGCGACGGGGGGAATACTGGGCCGGTCACTCAATATTCGCTCCATAAGATGCACAGACATTTTTTTGGGGGGAAAAAGTGAATTGCTGTCTGTTTTTCATCCTAAAATGGACAAACAGAACTGCGTAAAAGGACCCAAAAACAAAAATATATTACAGTTTGCCAGTCCTTTAACCACTTGCTATCCTGTGAATTTACCCCCCCTTCCTGACCAGGCCTCTTTTTGCTATTCGGCGCTGCACTGTTTCAACTGGTAATTGCGCAGTCATGCAATTCTGTACCCAAATGAAATTTACGTCCTTTTTTTCACACAAATGTAGCTTTTTTTGGTGATATTTGATCACCTGTGCGCTTCTTATTTTTTATGCTATAAACAAAGACCTAAATATGGAAAAAAAAAAAAAAATATTTTTTTACTTTCGGCTATAAAAAAAATATATAGTAAACTCAAAGTTAGACATTTAGGCCAAAATGTATTCTGCTACATGTCTTTGGTAAAAAAAAAAATCCCAATAAGTGTATATTGATTGCTTTGTGTGAAAGTTATAGCATCTACAAACAATGGTATAGATAATGGAATTTACACAGCTTTTACTTTCTGACTGCCATTTCTTTAGGTGATAAAATACTAGGACAGTACAAAGACCCCCAAATGACCCCTTTTCCGGAAAGTAGACACCCTAAGCTAATTGCTGAGAGGCATATTGAGTCCATGGAAGATTTATCTTTTTTCCTCAAGTTTTTGGAAAATGACAACATTATTTTATTTTAATTTTTTCTTTACACAAAGTTGTCACTTAAATGATATATTGCTCACACAAGCCATGGGTATATATGGAATTGCACCCCAAAATATATTCTGCTACTTCTACCAAGTATGGGGATACCACATGTGTGAGACTGTGGGAGCCTAGCCACATACAGGAGCCTGAAATCCATTGACCGCTTTGAAAGCCTGAAGGTGCGTAACTTCCTAATTTCACTTCCTCACTACCTATCACAGTTTTGTAGGCCCAGAAATGCCAGGATAGCACCAAACCCCTCCAAATGACCCCTTTTTGGAAAATAGACATTTTACCACAAGGAATTTAAAAAGAGGCATGGTGAGTATTTTGCAGCTCTCATTTTTTTCTCACAAGGTTTTGAAATATAAAAAAAAAAAAAGAAAAAATGTTTTCTTCATTTTCTAAAAACTTGTGGCAACAAACGAGATCTTCAAAATACTCACCATGCTTCTTATCAAATTCCTTGGGGTGTCTGCTTTACAATAAGGGGTCATTGGGGTGGGGTGCTATCCCGGCATTTCATGGCCTCCAAAACTGTGATAGGTAGTCAGAAAGTGTAGTGAGGCAATAAAGCCCTTTAAAAGCCTGAATGTGCTTATTGGATTTTGGGGTCCTGTACTGGGCCAGACTGCCAAAAAGTCTCTCATGTGGTATCCCCATACTCAGGAGAAGTAGCAGAAATTTTTTGGGGAGTAATTCCACATATACCCATGGCATGCGTGAGCAATAAATCCTTTAAGTGACAATTCTGTGTAGTGTAAAAAAAAAAAATTGTAATTTTTCAAAAAACTTGTGGTAAAAAAAGTATTCTATTGACTCAACATGCCTCCCAGCAAATAGTTTGGGGTGTCTACTTTCCAAAAAGGGGTCATTTTGGGGGCGAGGGCATTTTATGCCCAGCATTAGATGTGTATGCCACACATCACTCTCTTCTAACCACCTGAAGAGCAAGCCTTTTTTGACTCTTTCTGTTCACATGAAAAACAATCAGTATTTTTTGCTAGGAAATTACTTTGGGCGGGCGAGATTGCTGTAAAAGGGAATCAGTGAGAAACAGAGGTGTCCGTTTATCAAGTGCATGTTTGGTGTGAAGGAGGCCTTAATTTAGGTGACCGTTTATCAAACAGCGTTGAATTACCGCTGCTGAGTTCGCTGGCGTTATCAGAGGAGACTGCTCTCCACAGTACCTCACACTACACTGCATAATATTAACTCCTTCACGCCATCAGTACGCATATATGTGGCCTCTTGGTGGGTGGGCCTTGGTGCCGAGAGGCCACATATATGCGTAAACAACCCTGTGCCGAGAGCACACGTCCTGCGTGCTCCTGACATAGTTACCAGTGCCTAGCGGAAAGCTACTTGCGATTATGAGCTTTCCGATCATGTGACCGCTGTGACAGTCATTCACAGTGGTCACATGATCATAAACCTTGCCCTGCCTTCCAGCAGAAACCCCTTGAGGGGCCAGGAGATGCAGGCATTAAGGGGTCAATAAAACAAAGTTAATGTCCCCCTACACAAATTATATATTTATCTACATAAACATATACAGTATCTTACAGAAGTACACCCCTCACATTTTTGTATATATTATCTTTTCATGTGACAACACTGAAGAAATAACACTTTGCTACAATGTAAAGTAGTGAGTGTACAGCTTGTATAACAGTGTAAATTTGCTGTCCCCTCAAAATAACACAACTCACAGCCGTTAATGTCTAAACCATTGGCAACAAAAGTGAGTGCAGCCCTAAGTGAAAATGTCCAAATTGGGCCCAATTAGCCATTTTCCCTACCCGGTGTTATGTAACTCGTTAGTGTTACAAGGTCTCAGGTCTGAATGGGGAGCAGGTGTGTTAAATTTTGTTATCGCTCTCACTCTCTTACTGGTCACTGGAAGTTCAACATGGCACCTCATGGCAGAGAACTCTGAGGATCTGAAAAAAAGAATTGTTGCTCTACATAAAGATGGCCTAGGCTATAAGAAGATTGCCAAGACCCTGAAACTGAGCTGCAGCATGGTGGACAAGACCATACAGTGGTTTAACAGGACAGGTTCCACTCAGAACAGGCCTTGCTATGGTCGACCAAAGAAGTTGAGTGCACATGCTCAGCGTCAGATGCTGTCATCCCAGAAGGAAGCCTCCTGTAAGGGTGATGCACAAGAAAGCCCACAGACCGTTTGCTGAAGACAAGCAGATTAAGGACATGGATTACTGGAACCATGTCCTGTGGTCTGATGAGACCAACATAAACCTATTTGCTTTAGATGGTGTCAAATGTGTGTGGCGGAAACCAGGTGAGGAGTACAAAGACAAGTGTGTCTTGCCTACAGTTAAGCATGGTGGTGGGAGTGCCATGGTCTGGGGTTGCATGAGTGCTGCTGGCACTGGGGAGCCACAGTTCATTGAGGGAACCATGAATGTCAACATGTACTGTGATATACTGAAGCAGAGCATGATCCCTTCCCTTCGAAGACTGGTCCACAGGGCAGTATTCCAACATAACGACCTCAAACACACCTCCAAGATTACCACTGCTTTGTTAAAGAAGCTGAGGGTAAAGGTGATGGACAGGCCAAGCATCTCTCCAGACCTAAACCCTATTGAGCATCTGTGGGGCATCCTCAAAGGGAAGGTGGAGGAGCGCAAGGTCTCTAACATCCACCAGCTCTGTGATGTTGTCGTGGAGTGGAAGAGGACTCCAGTGGCAGCCTGTGAAGCTCTGGTGAACTCCATGCCGAAGAGGGTTAAGGCAGTGCTGGAAAATAATGGTGGCCGCATAAAACATCGACACTTTGGGCCCAGTTTGAACATTTTCACTTAGGGGTGTACTCCCTTTTGTTGCCAGCAGTTTAGACATTAATGGCTGTGTATTGAGTTATTTTGAGGGTACAGCAAATTTACACTGTTATACAAGCTGTACACTCACTACTTTTACTTAGCAAAGTGTAATTTCTTCAGTGTTGTCACATGAAAAGATATAATAAAATATTTACAAAAATGTAAGGGGTTTACGCCCTTCTGTGAGATACTGTATATATGCCAAAGCATAGGGGTCATCCACCCAATGGCCACCCCAGGCCCCCATGCTCCGGCATATATGCTCCTTTTTTTTTTTTTTTTTTTTTTAATTGTGGATGAAAAATCTCATACAACAGCGCTGCCCACACTGACTTTTGTATATTCTGAGAGCAAGACCCTGTTGCTGTCAGAATAAACACGTCGGTGCTCCAGCTGAATGACATCCTCATTTCTCAAGCAGGCTTTTCCCCTCTTTATAATACGGGTATTTACAGGCCATTGGGGGAAGCCCTGGCGATTAGGTCGCACAGTGCCACATGCAGCAATTCCAAGATTGTACAACTGTCTAATTAGTGGCATGCTTGAATAAAAATTGTCCACGTATAAGTGGTACCCCATATGGAAAAAGGATGACACCAAGTCCCAAACTATCTTGCCACTGCTCTCCATGTAGTCTGGGCATCCGGGGGGGCTCCACGTGACTATCTTTTCCCCCGTAAATCTGAAACTTGTATGTATAGCCTGTTGCCCTCTCACAGGTCTTATACATCTTGACCCCATATCTGGCACGCTTGCTGAGGAGAAATTGTTTGAATGGAAGGCGGCCAGAAAAAATGAGTGACTCCTCAACACAGACGTTTTGCTGGGGAGTATAGAGATCTGCAAATTTTTGGTGAAGGTGATTTACAAGGGGTTGAATTTTGTGAAGCCAGTCAAATTCAGGGTCACCCCGAGGACGACAGTGTGTTGTCATTGAAATGCATAAAACACATTATACTCTATAACTGGCCATGGCAGCAGAGAACACGGGCATATGATGAATCGGGTCTGTGGACCAATACAACCGCAGTTAATTTTTTTTTTTTTAGTAATGCCCATGTTGAGGGTTAGGCGCAAAAAAACTTTACATTTGGAAACCGTAATGGGTTTCCATGTGAGTGGTCTGGCAAGGTTTGAATTTGGGTTGGCAGCGATAAACTGTCGTGCATTTAAATTGCTTTAATCCCCAATCAATGCATAGGTATCTTCTGTGAAAAACGGCTCCAAAAAATCAAGGGGAGTATTTAAATTTGCTGTTTCCACCTAAATTCTGGGTTGGGCAGTGAATAGAGGGGAAGTACGGGTGCTGCAGAATTTGTGGGCTAACAGTCGGGATTTGTAAGCACATCCGGAAGGATACTAGGGGCTCTATGGACCTGTGTGCTAATTCTTGGTGGCTGCGGGACACTACTTGTTTTTGCCACCTCACCAGCTTGTACTGCACTTTTGGGACTCGCCAGCGAGCACCTGGCTGTCAGGGACTGCTTGAACCGCAACAAAAAAATTTTACCGGCAAGTGCTAACAGAGATCAGGCTTGATTCTGCGAACACTGAGGTTTCGTGTGCAATGTATCGAGTGACAGTGACCTACTGGCACTGCACTTATGGGGGGAGAAGGGGGGGGTAAGCGTAGGCGCTAAACTCAAGTGCTGGAAGGTGCCAGGGGTGATCCCGCTAACACTGTGGTTTTGGGGACACTATACTAATGTGAACGCTGGTATAATGCTGATCTTATCAAAGATTGACATGTTCAGACACTATACTAGCAATGGAGGTTTGTGATTATGTTCCTGGCAATCAAGGGGTTAAATGTGATTACTGGTGTACTGACGGGCAGTCTGACGCTATCTGTGAGGGGCGCGAAAACCGCAGCAGTGCGAATCACGTATAAGTACGTGATTTTGCACACCCATGATGTAGCAGTATTTCTACTATAGGGCGGCGCGGAAGCAGTTAACCTCCCTGGAGGTATTCCCGAGTGTAGCTCGGGGTAAAGTTTCAGCATCACATGCAGTGACCCCGAGCTACACTCGGGAATACCTTGCAGCATTGCTCCGGGATCTCTTCTTCACTTACCTTGTTTTTCGCTCCCGCGATGTTCCCCTGCAATGTCCTCCGGCCGATGTCGGTATCTGTCTTCCGGGTTCCTTTCCTGTGCAACGTCAGGACCTACGGGGACGGAACTGGCGGGAAATTTTAAAAGTGACATTCACCAAATTCACTACAATCACATAGTAAAACATTACTGTATCAAAGCATGTCACATACATTTTGTCCCTAGTGCTTTGTTCTGTGCCCTGCCTGCATTTTTACCGTTCTTTCTGCCTTGAAACTAAGAAATGTCCAAAAAGTGCCCCTTTAGGTCAAAAGCGGTTTTAGACCAGCTAGAGAACAGCGATAGTAAATCAGAATCACTTGCAGAATTGAGTGATAATGATTTGTGGGGAAATTCGTCATCAGACACTGAAAACGATTTTGAGACTTTGCTCAGTGATGTGCGAACTTGGCGCTATATTTCACATTTCAGTGTTTTTGGTTTGATTACATTATTGAATTAAATGTATTATTATAATATTTTATATTGATTAAATTATAATTTCGTGTTTCAAATTTTAACATACCTGGAATGTTTACTAGACTCTTGTTCAGACAGATTTCAGTGAGTTATTCCTAAAAAATTACAGGCCTACAAAAAACTACATATTTCCATGCAAAAAATGTCTTTAAAAAAAAAAAAAAAAAAAAAAAAAATACTAATATGTGTAAATGAATTGGTTTACGTTGGTAAATTATAGCTTTTACAAATGGTATAGATACTGTAATTTTTTTTTTTGTGCTAATAATGGCAGTGATCAGCGACTTATAAGCGGAACTGCGGCAGACACTAGGGGGAACTGGCTTAGTGTCGCTGACATCCCCAAGGACACCAATACAGTGATCAGTGCTAATATAAAGCACTGACACTGTAATAATGGCACTGGGCAGGAAGGGGTTAACAATGAGGGGTGATCAAAGGTTTAACTTTGTGCTGGGAGTGTTTTACTAGGGGGCGGGGGTGTTTGTTAGAGCAGTGTGCCCTAACTGACTGGGAGGAGGACTGTTGGTTAGCAAATCAGCTCTCTTCCCCGTTGGTGATCCTCGGCAATCACTGGGCACTGGCGGGTAATCACCGGCCGGGACCCGGTGATTGACACCCGGGGCCGCGATCGGTGGTGCGGGTAGTGTGCGCGCGAGGCTCGCTCGCACCCCCTACCCGGAAATGCAAAATCACGTGTGTATATATAGGTGATTTTGCGCCATGCCGCCCTGTATTTCTGCCATATGGCGGACGGTAAGTGGTTAAATGTGGTGGTGGCGAGGCTTCCTCAGCTGTAAACCTTCCTGGTTTACTTCCTTTTAACTCTGCAGCAAACCCTTTTTAAGCGGTTAAAGAAACAGGTTTTTTTTTTTTTTTTTTTCTCTTTTTGAGATAATGGTTTTAACTAAATGCAAAAAAGCTGACTATTGGAAGCTATCCCTTTCGGTGTTAAATGGTTTTTAGCTGCCACTTTTACTGGACAGCTTGGTCTCTAAAAGAAAGTCGAATATAGCACACTAACTGGTCAGATCAAAAGTGAAACTAAGGGGGGGGGGGGGGTAGTCTATTAAAGAAAACCTACGATAGCCTCATCATTTTAAGGATTGGTAAGCTTCATTGTATTATATTTTTTTTTTTCCCTACTTTTGGGTAAGCATGTGCTTTGATATTTTTCACTTTAAACAATTATTTGCAAGCAATGGGGCAAATTCACAAGGCATTTGATATAACATTATGTTGCATTTTACATGTTTTCAAGCATATTGTTTTATAGTTATAATTTTATTTTTTTTGCAGTGCTCGCAGTTTGCCAGAGAAAATGACCGTTTACAGTACTTTAGTGGGGTTGCTGAATGCTCGAAACTACAACTTCGGTGGGGAATTTGTAGAAGCCATGATTCGTCAGCTCAAGGAAACTATAAAATCCAATTTGTATACAGAAGCTACTTACATTGTAAGCAATCTTTCAAATGTAATGCCGTTGACATAGATCTGTAAAATATAGGCTAGTACTACACAGGCCATTATCCTACTGATACTGAACCACTTGTTGGCAGTAATCTCATTTTCCCCTTTTCTGATTTGTTCTCTCTTTCACAATCTTGCCATACAGGTACGCTTCCTGTCTGATCTTGTGAATTGCCATGTTATTGCAGCACCTTCTATGGTTGCAATGTTTGAAAACTTTGTTGGGGTCACCCAGGAAGAAGATCTACCTCAGGTAAAATTTTCCAGTCATGTTTATAATGAAAAGAGTCAGTAATCATGCGATGAGATTGATTAAAATCATCACTGGATTTTAACCTATTAAACAGATGCCAGTTTAGAGAATAGTCATGTTATTTAGAAGCGTTGTTATTCACAGTAGTTAGAGAGCAGGCTGAGAAGGCATGAGTTAGTCACATATATCAATTGGATTTGAGTTTACTCTAAACATTCAGCCATGTTCAAGAAAGTGAAGCAAGGGAAAAGAACTTCAACGTCACCCCACTGTATCCTATCTTTTAAATGTTATTGGGGAAAAGGTTTTGAGGTTTGTATATGGAATATCCCTCTTTGGGCTGCATATATTAGGTGGCAGATTGACTCTACCACAACATTAAAGGAAAACGCCACTTTCATTTAAAAACCGTAACACAGCAGATAAAATTGCTACAAAGCCATTTTGCAATTTATTTTTCTACAGGTACTTATATAGCACCATCCATTTACGCACTACATATATATTGTACATTCACATCAGTCCCTGCTTGCAATGTACAATCTAATGTCCTTAACTCACATTCATATATGCACATACTGGGCTAAATAAGACAGGAGCCAATTAACCTACCAGCATGTCATTGGGTGTGGGAGGAAACCCACGTAGGCACAGGGAGAACTTGAAAACTTTAGGCAGGTAGTGCTAACCATTCAGCTACTTTATTAAAAATTGTATTTCTATTGCAGACTGCAGCTACTGTCTAAATATTAAATGCGATATGTTATTTTGAAGGTATTCTGTACACTGGTGTACAGAATGTTCCCACAAATCAAAACATTAACAATAACATTATAAAGCCATTTATAACTCTGCCCCAAATTACATCACCAATCTTGTCTCCAATTATCACCCAAACCATACTGTCCACTCCTCGCACGATCTCCTGCTCTCTAGCTTCCTTGTCTCCTCCTCCCATGCTTGTCTCCAGGACTTCTCCAGAGCTGCCCCCATCCTCTGGAACTCTCTACCCCAATTTATCAGACTATCGCCTAGTCTGCTCACTTTTAGGCGATCTCTGAAAACCTATCTCTTCAGGGAAGCATATCCTGCCCTCAGCTAATAATGGAATCTTCTATTCCTCCTACCAGTCCATCCCCCACAGTTACTACCTTTTGTACCACTAGCCCCTCCTTCTTAGATTGTAAGCTCCAAGGAGCAGGGCTCTCCTAACCCTCTTGTATTGAAGTGTATTGTTGCTGTATCCTGTTATATTGTAAAGCGCTGAGCAAACTGTTGTCGCTATATAAATCCTGTATAATAATGTAATTTCCTACTCATTTGACTTATTTTCTTAGGATTCTTCACTAGGATACAAGTAAAATTATAGGCATCCCCTGCAATAGAAATTTCATTTTGGAGAGATACTCTACATCTGGTCTTCTAAAGGGATGCAGACAATACAGCTTTCCTCTTTAGCACAATGAGATTTGTTCAAATGGTCATAATGAAACGGACCATAACATTCAGGTATCATTGTGGAATGAACATGGTGGAGAAAAAAAAACCAGTTCAGACAGAAAAAGCGGCCTGCCTTTTATAAATGAAAAGTAAAAACCAGGCCACAGTATGAAGTAATGTTACATTGCTAAGCAATACACCATATACAGGGGTTGAAGTTGTTATTCTTCTTTGATAATGGAGCTTTCTGCATTTGGACAAGTCGTAGTTTTTTGCTTTTTTCCTTACTAGAGAGTAAACTAAAATAAACAGCATGAGATAAATGTTGTGTACCAGCCATAAAAATGTGTCCAGTTTCTTATATACTGTGGCTTTCAATCATCTCTTAGATTGTAAGCTCCAAGGAGCGGGGCCCTCCTAACCCTCTTGTATTGAACTGTATTGTTGCTGTATTGTCACCCATTATATTGTAAACTGTTGGCGCTATATAAATCCTGTATAATAATAATTTCCCAGGCTAGGTTCACACCTACTGTATGCAGTTTGCTTTAGATCTGTTTCTGCAGTACTTTTTTGCAGTGCGTTTTTGCACATGCGTTTGTGTTTTGCGGAGGTCTTTTTGCCAACTTGTTTCTGGACAGATTAAAATGCATAAAAGACCCAATACATGCATTTCTGATGCGTCTCCATTGAAGTCTATTGAACCAAAATGCAATGTTTTGCGTTTAAAAAAAAAAAAAAAAAAAAGTCCCTGACCCTTTCCAAAAAATGCATCGGGTGAAAACGCGCAGATGTGAATGTGTACCATAGGAAATCATGTTAAATGGACTGTAGTACAAAATGCACCGCAAGTTCCTTAGGTGTGTGAACCTAGACTAAAGGTGGTAATCGTAGCTTCTTTTCTGTTTTTAGGTCCGTTCTGACTGGTATGTGTTTGCTGTCCTCTCCTCCTTACCCTGGGTTGGAAAAGAGCTTTATGAGAAGAAGGATGTTGAGATGGACCGCATTTTGTCACAGATTGAAAGTTACCTCAAGTATGTATAGGCAGATTTTGGCACTTCATGAATGCAACAAAGCATGCCTGCACCTTCCTACCTACTGGAAATTCCTTTTGGCTAGTAAACCTTTCATATTAATGGGCCAGTAGGAATGTATTTAGGTGGGTCTTCTCTGTGGTGCTAGGAAATTCCTAAAAATGCACTTTCCCTTAGGGTAAGTGTGCTTCATGTGCTCTGTTAACGTAATTGAGCGAATGCTATACTCCTCCATCCAAATTGCTCATGCAGACCTATTGTGCTGAGGAGGTAAGGTGGTATGCCTGAAAAGGTCTTTTAGATTTTGCAGCACGCTGGCAGCACTGTCAAACTCTGCTTATTTGGCCATGTTGACATACTTCGACACCAAACCACTACTATAACAGTACTAAGGCTATGAAAATGGTGTTTAATGTCTGTATGATCATGTTTTTGACCGCACTTGGACTTTAAGGCTAGATTCACAGCTAAGCGGTTTATGTGTGATATGTTTGTGCATGCACAGAAGCCCGTTCGTTTGAATGGGCTGCTGTACCTGTTTCCGGCAGGAAATTTATTATTTTTTAAATGCGGCAACATTGGAAACTGCATGGTGCTTTTGCACCAAGCATTTCTGTGTGAGAGAGAACAACACTGTGTTTTTCAGTGCATGAGGGTACCATTAAGAGTTAGGACTCTTACATACAGGAGTTTTTTACAGCTCTGAAATGAGATGCCTTGTTGTCTATGGGACATTGCACACAGCTAAGTAAAGATAATACAGCTTTGAATACAGAGCCATAAAACAAAGTTAGAAATTTTTACATTTGAGTGCAGTAATTTCACTCTCATATTCGTTTACTCATCTTAAGCATGTTTAGATGATTCTAAATTACAACACTGGCAATGAACACGACTGTACTCTATATGCTTGCACACTTTTACACACCTATTAATCGAGCACTTTCTGTCAATAAGTTCCTGAGTAAACATCAGTAAATTAGGACACCAGTGTGCAAGGGGCCGTAATGGGACCTCTGCACGGTTTCTTAAAAGCACCACATTTTTTGTGCAGCTACATGAGTGTACAGGAACATGTTCAATTTACACACATTCCTGCACAGATGTGAACCTAGCCTAATAGAGTAGGAATTGCTGACTTTTAGAATTGCTACATCTAGAATTACATATCTCCCTTTTTTTTTTTTTTTTTAGCAATTCTACCAGTATTGACTGGTATAATCATTAAAAACTGCATGTTACATTAGTTATTCTGTAGTCTAATTTACAGTACATAATACATGCTCTTTTATCTTTTTATATATTTTTTAGACCACGTCAAAAAATTCACGTGTCTATGTTACAAATATGGTCTGCAGATAAACCTCACCCACAGGAGGAGGTATGGGGATTTCTATGTTTATTTTACTGAGACTTGCATTGGATTAAAGGTGAACTCCAAGCAGATGTAAAAAACACATTAATGCAGCTCTATATTCATTAATATACACTGCTCAAAAAAATTAAAGGAACACTTTGAAAACACATAAGATCTCAATGGGGAAAAATATCATGCTGGATACCTATACTATACTGATATGGACTGGGTAACGTGTTAGAAACGTAAGGATGTCCCATCGTTTTATGGAAATTAAAATTATAAACCTACAAAGGACTGACACCCCAAAAATCAAAGTGAAAAAATGATGCAGCAGGCTAGTCCATTTTGCTGAAATTTCATTGCAGCAACTCAAAATGGTACTCAGTAGTTTGTATGCCCCCCCACGTGCTTGTATGCATGCCTGACAACGTCGGGGCATGCTCCTAATGAGATGACGGATGGTGTCCTGGGGTATTTCCTCCCAGATCTGGACCAGGGCATCACTTAACTCCTGGACAGTCTGAGGTGCAACCTGGCAGCGTTTGATGGACCTAAACATGATATCCCAGAGGTGTTCTATTGGATTTAGGTCAGGCGAGAGTGGGGGCCATTCAATGGTATCAATTCCTTCATGCTGCAGGAACTGCCTACATACTCTCGCCACATGAGGCCGGGCATTGTCGTGCACCGGGAGGAACCCAGTGCACCTGTGTAGGGTCTGCCAATGGGTCCAAGGATGTCATCCCGATACCTAATGGCAGTCAGGGTGCCAATGTCTAGCCTGTAGAGGCCTGTGCGTCCCTCCTATGGATATGCCTCCCCAGACCACCACCAAAACGGTCATGCTGAACTATGTAACAGGCAGCATAATGTTCTCCACGGCTTCTCCAGACCCTTTCACGTCTGTCACGTGCTCAGGGTGAATCTGCTCTCATCTGTAAAAAGCACACGGCTGTAGTGGCGGACCCGCCAATTCTGGTGTCCAATGGAAAATGCCAATAGAGCTCTGTGGAGCCAGGCAGTGAGTACAGGGCCCAGTAGAGGACGTCTGACCCTCAGGCCACCCTCTTGAAGTCTGTTTCTGATTGTTTGGTCAGAGGCATTCACACCAGTGGCCTGCTGGAGGTAATTTTGTAGGGCTCTGGCAGTGCTCATCCTGTTCTTCCTTGAACAAAGGAGCGGATACAAGTTCTGCTGATGTGTTAAAAACCTTCTACGGCCCTGTACAGCTCTCCTAGTGTAACTGCCTGTCTCCTGGAATCTCCTCCATGCTCTTGAGACTCTGCTGGGAGACACAGCATTGCCTTCTTGCAATGGCACGTATTGATGTGCCGTCCTGGAGGATTTGGACTGCCTGTGCAACCTCTATAGGGTCCAGGTATCACCTCATGCTATCACTAGTGAAACTGACCCTAGCTAAATGCAAAACTAGTGAAAAACAGTCAGAAAAGATGAGCAGGGAAAAAAATGTCAGTGGACTCCACCTGTAAAACCATTCCTGGTTTTGGGGTCATATCATTGTTGCTCATCTAGTTCCCTTGTTGTTAATTTGATTAACAACCCCCTCTGCTACTTACAGTGCCTTGAAAAAGTATTCATACCCCTTTAAATTTTCCACATTTTGTCATGTTACAACCAAAAACATAAATGTATTTTGTTGGGATTTTATTTGATAGACCAACACAAAGTGGCACATAATTGTGAAGTGGAAGGAAAATGATATATGGTTTTCAAATTTTTTTACAAATATCTGAGAAGTGTGGCGTGAATTTGTATTCTACCCCCTTTACTCTGCTACCCCTAACTAAAATCTAGTAGAACCAATTGCCTTCAGAAGTCATCTAATTAGTAAATAGAGTCCACCTGTGTGTAACTTCATCTCAGTATAAATATAGCTATTCTGTGAAGCCCTCAGAGGTTTCTTAGAGAACATTATTGCACAAACAGCATTATGAAGGCCAAGGAACACACCAGACAGGTCAGGCATAAACTTGTGGAGAAGTTTAAAGCAGCGTTAGGTTATAAAAAAAAAATATCCTAAGCTTTGAGCATCTCACGGAGTACTGTTCAATCCATCATTCGAAAATGGGAGAGTATGGCACAACTGCAAACCTACCAAGACATGGCCGACCGCCTAAACTGACAGGCCGTCCAAGGAGACCATTAATCAGAGAAGCAGCCAAGAGGCCGTGGTAACTCTGGAGGAGCTGCAGAGATCCACAGCTCAGGTAGGAGAATCTGTCCAGAGGACAACTTTTAGTCATGCAATCCACAAATCTGGTCTTTTTGGAAGAATGGCAAGAAGAAAGCCATTGTTGAAAGAGAGCTATAACAAGTCCTGTTTGTAGTTTGCGAGAAGCCATGTGGAGGACACAGAAAACATGTGGAAGAAGGTGCTCTGGTCAGATGAGACCAAAATTTAACTTTTTTGGCCTAAAAGCAAAATACTATGTGTGGCAGAAAACGAACAATGGATATCACCCTGAACACACCATCCCCACTGTGAAACGTGGTGGCAACATCATGTTTTGGGGATGCTTTTCTTCAGCAGGGATAGGTAAGCTGGTCAGAGTTGATGAGAAAATGGATGGAGCCAAATACAGGGCAATCTTAGAAGAAAACCTGTTAGTCTGCAAAAGACTTGAGACTGGGGCGAAGGTTCACCTTCCAGCAGGACAATGACCCTAAACATACAGCCAGAGCTACAATGGAGTGGTTTACATCAAAGCATATTCATGTGTTAGAATGGACCAGTCAAAATCCAGACCTAAATCCAATTGAGAATCTGTGGCAAGACTTGAAAATTGCTGTTCAGACGCTCTCCATCCAATCTGACAGAGCTTGAGCTATTGTGCATAGAAGTATGGGCAAAAATTTCCCTCTCCTTAGATGTGCAAAGCTGGTAGAGATAGACCCAAAAAGACTTGCAGCTGTAATTGCAGCGAAAGGTGGATCAACAAAGTATTGATTCAGGGGGGCTGAATACAAATGCACGCCACACTTTTCACATTTATTTTAAAAACTTTTGAAAACCATTTATCATTTTCTTTCCACTACACAATTATGTGCCTCTTTGTGTTGGTCTATCACATACATTCCCAGTAAAATGAGTAACTTACCAGATTAATATCCCAGGAGTTTAATTGATTTGATGCTATGCTCAAAGTGTTTTTCTTTTTAATTTTTTTTTTTGAGCAGTGTATAATTGAAAGTATTATTTTAAAATGTAAGCAGTGTAAGTACTTGAATGTGCCTTAGTATTAGTATCTTATAGTCTACTTTACAGCAGATCTCAAAGAGCAGGAGGGAGAAGCATCACAAGAAATGAATGTAGTGTGTTGCAGAACAAGAAGCCATGTTGATGAGAGAGCAGAGAGATATCATTTTTGCTTCTTCTCCTTTCACTGTCTAGTCACAGGCTGGGGGAGGGAACAGAACCTGTAAGTGTTGCTGATCTGCAGCAGAAAAAAATCAGGTCCCCTGCTAGCCTGGGATGTGATGTATAGCAGAGTTGTGTAAATCTCAGGATTGAATAGATGGAAATACAAATCATTTTGGCTGGTAAAACAACTCTTTCTGTATTTCATCTTTGTATGTAGCGGTTTGCCAGGAGTTCAGCTTTAAGTAGATAACTTGTGCTCTTCCTGAGACATTTGCAGACTTAAAGCTGTTTGTTTTTTTGCTCTAGTACTTGGATTGCCTGTGGGCACAGGTTCAAAAGCTGAAGAAGGATCGCTGGCAAGAGAGGCACATCCTACGTCCATACCTTGCTTTTGACAGCATACTTTGTGAAGCCCTGCAACATAACCTCCCTCCGTTCACACCCCCACCTCACACAGAGGATTCAGTCTATCCAATACCTAGGGTTATTTTCAGGATGTTTGATTACACAGATGCACCAGAGGTACATACTTTGCTTTGGCTTTCAGAACTAATCCTTTTGCATGTTTTTAGATTTGTTTCCTGCTTACATTTACAGTACGAGTAATAAAATGGAGGGCTTTTCAAGAGTATATAGTTATGAGGTTGAAGGATATTTATTATTTCCTGCTTTAGGGTCCAGTGATGCCTGGAACTCATTCTGTTGAGCGATTTGTTATAGAAGAAAACCTGCACTGTATTGTTAAGTCACACTGGAAAGAGCGGAAAAATTGGTAAAGTAAACATTATTTTTGTGCTTTAATCAATCGCTGGATAAAAGGCAGCTTACTCTTACTTTTTCTAGACTTCCAGTGGCAGAAATGTACAAAATGTAAAAATGACAAAATACAAATATGTTTATACCTTCCTAGTTCCCATATTTGAAGCTGCACTACACTAGGGTGTATGTTTTTTGTGTGTCTTTTTTTTTTTTTTTTTGTTTCAATTAAAAAAATTGTGAAGCAACCTTCCCCAAATGGTACCTGCTCATTTTAATGGCCATACGGATTTTAGAACCTCAAGGTTTTTTTTTATTGCAGTCTGTGTCCTGCTGTTACATATGGGTTGATTTACTAAAACTGGAGAGTGCAAAATCTGGTGCAGCTGTGCATGGTAGCCAATCAGCTTATAACTTTAGCTTTGACAACAAAACCTTAATGCTGATCAGTTTCAATGCAGAGCTGCATCAAATTTTGCACTCTCCAGTATTAGTAAGCAGGCAGACTTTTTACTGCAGAAAGACTTGCAATGTCTCTTCTGTAATAAAGTACACCTATCTGCCTGCTTACAGTAATCTCTGGAATGTAAACTGAGCTGCTCATGCTCAGCTTAAAGCAGCCAGCCCAATCCCTGTGTGCCAGAGTGATGCTTCGGCCAATGAAGACAGCTGAAAACTGGCACACAAGAGAACATGCCAGTGAAGGACTGTGCGAAAGGTGAGTAATAACCCTTTAGTTCCGCTTTAAGAAAGATGAATTTCAGGCAGGAGTGCAATATTTACATCAATTGTTCTCCCAAGGTACTCTTAAAACATTTCAGGATATACAGAACACTTACCAAATCCTTACCCGCAGATTTTATCAATCCTTACAACTGCAGGATGCCCTAACAGCTCAAGCTAAAACACAATCACTGCTGTTTATGGAGACACCACTAATAGAAATCTTCGCTAATACCACAGTGAGGAAGGGACTTATCTCACAACTTTACCCAACTTTTCATTAATCCTATGTCTGATCTCCCTACCCCTGGCAAGAAAGGTTGGGAGGGAGATGTGGGCAGTGCCCTCTTAACAGCATCATGGGCTTCTAGGCAAAGTAATGCGCTAGGGCCCCTAACAGCCTGTATCAGGCATCTCCATCACAGCGCCCCATACATCATGTTTCCCCATCACAGTACCCCCATCCATCATACATCAGATTCCCCCATCAGTGTCCATATTCATCAGGTGTCCTCATCTCAGTGTCCCCATGCATCAGGTGTCCCATCACAATGTCCCTATTCATCAGAGTTATGGCCCCTGCTTCTCCCTTGTACTCACAGATCACAAATTCTGTTCCCGTTTGCAAAGAAGGTGACTTCTCCTCCTTATCCTGCGCTGCAACTGAGATGTGTTCTCAGTCTGTGTCAGCTCTCTTACCCCCTGCAGTGTCCCCATCCATCAGCCGTTCCCATCCCTGTGCCCCCTTACCTCAGCTGTTCCCATCCCTGTGCTCCCTTGCATCAGAGTTATCCCCTTCTCCCTTGTACTTCCAGATCACAAATGCACTTGCAAAGAAGGCAGCTTCCTATACTGCCTGAGACTGAGGTGAGTTCTCGGTGTCAGTGCCAGCTCTCTTTCTTCCCCTGCTGGAGGGAGAAAAAAGCTTAATCTTTTCTCCAACAGAAGCCATCTGCTGCTCCTTCTGAAAGGAGTGACATTGCAGTTACTCCTGTCAAAGAGGGGCAGCACCAGTGTGCAAATCAGCAGTGCACCCCCCCAACACAGTGCCTGGCCCCGATTATGATGCCCCCATGCACCTGGGGCCCCTGTGCAGTGCCCAGGTGTGCTCATGCATTGACAGCCCTGGATGTGAGCATCTTATCAGAGGACATCTGGAACAAGTCCTGCTGGTATCCCTGTCACCTACACAGACTTTGTTGTCCCAATTGTTTATAATACCTCACTCCCTTGAAACTTTTTCAATGTATAGAAGAGACAATCCAGATTGCTTTAGCTGCCTGGGAGCACCAGCAGACGTGACACATGCTTTGGAAATGTCCCAAGCTAGTTTGATGCTGGCAATCTGTGGTGGACACCATTAATTGAGCGTATCACATAAAGCTCACTCTTACCCCTTTAATTTGTATCTTAGGGTACATAGATGTGAAAACATGTCCACTGGAGACTTGGGTTCCGGTCTCTAGACTCCACTCTGTGGCCCGCAGATTGATACCTTTTAAAATGTTTTTCCACCAAATCCTCCCACGCTGGAAGAGCGACGAGCACACATCAATTCTACTCTTTTAAAATGTGCTATCTTTAAATGTAGAGGTGCACCCCATAAATTTATTAAGTTATTGGACCTATGGCTCTTTATCGTAGGACTCTGCTTGGCAAGATATATGGAATGAGGACACAGGCGAAGTTCCTGAAAGTGGCTTTCTTTCTACAGTGGATAAAAAAAATCATAAATATTCTGTTGCAACTTCTAGTATGTAGTTTGTGTGTTTAGGTTGTACACTTGTAATATTCTGTTGAGGAATAAGGGAAAACCTCTGGTCTGCTCGTCAGTGTTCTCAAATAAGTTACTGAAATGTCCTGTACATTATTATAATGCTGTGATATGCATATGATATCTTTTGGACAATAGATTTATCTGGCCTAATATTTCTGTATTTTTCTTCATTATAACTGTACCATTATGCTGTTTATGAACTGTATGTTTTGTTTAAGGCTGGCCATACATTATACAATTTTTTTTTCCTTTTAGATTTACCAAACTTATATAACATGAGGTCAAACCTTAACACTTTTAATTTGTATGCGGTCAGGCAGGCCCTTGCACTACATAGTTGAAGGTAAATCTAAAGGAAATTGTATGATGTATGGCCAGCTTAAAGGATAAGTTCACCTTTCGTAACATGTTGCTCCTATATTCAGGGTGTAACTTGTAGACCAGCCTCTGCTCTCTACTTTGACAGCTAGCGGGGGAAAAACTGTGGCCGATCAGGGCGCTGCCCGCCCTGCCCTGTCAACCATTCACAGTCCTCTATGAATGAGACTACAAGTCCCAACAGCCTTAGCGGCTGTCGGCTTGTACTCAATTAACTATTTCATTCATTCTTCCTGTCAGTATATCCTGGTTGCTTGTATATCCTGTACGGGCAAGCAGATATACTGGCAGGTCTTCAGGTGACCTGCATGGCACCAGCGATTTTCTAATCGCTGGTGCAATGCTTTACAGGCTCCTGCAGACAAAAATAACTGCATTTTTTTTTTTTTTTTTACTTGCAAAAAAAATGTGCATTTATTATTTTTTTTACGAAAAGGTAAGCTTATTATCCTTTTTAAGTAAGAAAATCTTTTATGAAAAATTATTTGGGAGGGAAAAAAAAGAGAAATGGTCAAAGCTTTCTTTTTTCTAATGTTGTCCAAATGTGTGGGAGAAAAAAAAAAAAAAATAAAAAAAAACCTGTTAAAGTACTGCTAAATAAGTGAACCAATTGCTTGGTTTTCGCAAAAATACAAAGGACCAAAATTTTGCGGTTTACCTGATTCGAACCACTGTAGATTAACAAAAGACACTTCTGTTAAGACTGTCAAAAATTCAATTTTCCTAAAAAAAATGTGCTTCTTTTTTTTTTTTTTTAGTGCTGTTAAAGTATAACAGAATATTTTTTTTTCTCATTTACTTTGTAGTGCTGCACAGCTACTCAGCTATCCAGGCAAAAATAAGATTCCGTTAAATTATCATATTGTTGAGGTATGTGTGTGCTGGTAATGTTCTGTTCAGGTAAATTCTAGTGGTACAACGAAATGAAAATGCTTGGACCAAAACCAAAAATTCACGATGCATTTGGGTGAAAACTGAAATGGACAGTTTAAAAAAAAAAAAAAAAAATATATATATATATATATATATATATATATATATATATATATATATATATATATATATATATATATATATATATATATATATATATATATTTATATATATATATTTTGAATTTTTTATTAATTCCATGTATTTAAAAGAATAGTAATTTATTTTACAGCACCTCTTGGGCCAATAGGCTGCTTTCACACTGAGCAGTTTATGCAGCGCTTCTGCGTAAAAAAAAAAAAAAATGCATCCCTTTAAATTCAATATTTGTCTTCACACTGGTTTGTTGCACTTCCTTTGTGGTGTTAAAAATCCTGCATGATGCATTTTTGGTGCATATTTGGCAAGTTAATAAAAAAAATGCACCTCCCCATTGAGGCCTTGTTCACAGCAATGCGTTTTTTTTTTAGGACTTTTTGCAGAAATGCACTACAGTCCATTTAAAATGGTTTCCTATGGGACATGTTCACATCTATGCTTTTTTTGAGCTGCTACACTTTTGGAAAGCGTCAGGTACTTTTTTCTAAAAGCAAAACGTTGCGTTTTTGGTTCAACAGGCTTCAGTGGAGATGCTGCATGTAGTGCGTGTGTGCATGTAGTGCGTTTTCATGTGTTTTTAAAATTTTTTTTATCTGCCCAGCAACAAACTGGCCCAAAAGCACAGTGGCTAAATGGTTAGCACTTCCGCCTGCAGTACTAGGGCATGTTGGTTCAAATCCCAGGCACGGCACCACCTGCCTGGAGTTTGCATGTTCTCCCTGTGCCTGCGTGGGTTTCCTCCCAAACTCCAAAGACATGCTGGTAGGTTAATTGGATCCTGACTAAATTGGCCCTAATATGTGTATATATGAATGTGAGTTAGGGACCTTAGATGTACACCCCTTGAGGGTTAGGGACTGATGTGAATGTACTATATATATGTAAAGCGCTGCGTAAATTGACGGCGCTATATAAGCACCTGTAATAAATAAGACGCAAAACTCATCAAAAAATACGTCAAAAACATGCTTGCAAAAATGCAAACAGCATTGGTGTGAACCAGGCCTGAAATGCATCAAAAAATGTGCACGTTGCATTTTTGATGCGTTTTACATTTTTAATCTACCCAGCAACAAGTTTTTTAAAAAAAAAAAAAAATCAAAAAACGTGCGTGCAGAAACGCACTGCAAAACAGATAAAACGCAAACTACATTGGTGTGAACCAGGCCTGAAATACATTGTGTTGTGTTTTTGATGTGTTTTGTATTTTTTAATCTGCCCAGCAACAAGTTGGCCAAAAAATGCATCAAAAACACAAAAAGCACTGCAGAACGGACAAAACGCTAACTGCGTTGGTGTGAACCAGGCCTGAAATGCAATGAAAATTCATCAAAAACGCAAGCATGTTGTGTTTTGATGTGTGTTTTTGAATCGCATGACAAAAACGCACCCTAAACATGGCAAAATCGTGTGTTTCCGGTGGCCATTATCGACAATTTTTTTCCTATTGGCAAAATGAAAATGGATATTTTCGGCTGATACATTTTGGCCGTGGGTATATCGGTGCGTCCAAAGAATTTTTACATTTTAGCTGTATTATTTATATGATTGTGTAATCGTTTGGAATTGGTGCTCACATTTTGATGATTTTTAGATGTCTTATTTTAGCCTTTAAGAAAAATTAAAACCATTGAATCTTGAGTCACCACTACGGGTGACCACTCTATAGGTAAAAACTCACATGATCTCTCCCTGTTCTTTGGCATCTGCAGGGAAAGATCCTTGGGAGGGGCTTTTATTACTACAGTATGAGTCTGACTAGCCAGCCCTGATTTGGTGCTGTGCCAGTCACATGACTAGAAGAGCAATTCAAATAAAAATATAAATCTCAAAAACTGTTTTCTAGCTCCCAATAGGTGGTGTCATTTACAACTATGTATACACCTACATGCGTGACTCTAGTCATATGGACTGCACAGATAAGAAATTGAAGAAATGTATTGGCTTAGAAGGGTATTGAATTTGAGCAGGCTAAATAGGGGGCGCCAGCTGAATTACGCAATCTCAGCCTGCAATGGGGACACAGAGAACATGGGGGAGACAGCTGAAGGCAGGATCAACCAGGTATATTTCACTCTACACAAAACGAATGCTGAGTATGCATGCTCTGTTAGGCTCCATTCACACTACTGCAGGCCTATGTTTCCCGCAGAAAAAAGGTGCATGCACCTTTTGAAAAAGGCAGCCACAGGGAAACCACATGGTCTTTTTTGACCATCCGATTTCCTCGCCGGTCCCACATCCACAAACGCACTGCTCAATTATGGATCAATCATTTTTCATGCTGTGGCAAAAGCAAACTGTAGAATAATTTTCTTGCTTCCTATATTTCTGAGCAATTCTAAATGCATGAATTCCATAGTGCTTTTCCCAAACATTACTAGACTGTCAGTTATTTATTTTTAACACCTTGCATATCCCGAGTTCAGATGTACGATAATGGCTTTTTTTTTTTTTTTTTTTTTTTTTGTGCATCACTGTCCACCTGAGTGATTTGCCCCTTGAAAGCTTTTGCATTTGTTTTTTAATCCTCATAATGGTGCATACTTTTTGTTAAAAACAGATTGGAGTGTTTATAAATGTTTATTTTTGTAGATCTAAAAATGATTAAACCTTATTCTAAATGTGGCTTGTGAAAATAGGTATCATTCTTGTGATAAAGACTAATCTTACATTTCAGGTCATCTTTGGAGAATTGTTTCAGCTTCCCATGCCTCCACATATTGATGTTATGTATACAACACTGTTAATTGAACTTTGCAAACTGCAGCCTGGATCTTTGCCACAAGTGGTATCCTTTACCTTTAAAAACTGTATTTTCTATTTTGCTCATAAATACTAAAAGGATTTTTTTTCCCAGTATATGCAGGCTTCTAATTTGAAGGCGCTCCCGGGGGTGTCGTATGACACCCTCCCAGAACTGGCTGGCCGCCGTGAAGCCATCATTTGGCTATCTTCGGTCGGCACGTGGTTAAAATCTAAAGGGGCATTTGAAATTAAACTCTTAATGTTTTACCATTGCGCTGTTTATCTCCTCACCTCCATGCCTGTCTCCAGCACCGCACCCAGGGATTAGCAGGGAGGGGGATTAGCATTGCAGTGTGACAAGCACTGATTTGGGTGTTTGTCAGGAGTGCTGGGCTCTTTTAACACTCAAAAGCGCTGTGAATGCACAACAATCAGAAAACATAGGTTCAGGTGACATTATTTTCAGTGGCACCTAAAACGTGGTTCGGTTTTGCCGCACGATTTACTGTATAGCAAATTGCATTGCGTGAAGCTTGTTGTGAAAAAATGGCTAAATGTAAAAAAAAAAAAAAAAACATGCCTAGCGCCTGGAACTGCATGTCCCAAACATCAGGCAATATGATTGCAGTACAAACAAATGACACCTGGCCTTTGCAACAAGGAGCACATGGAAAAGCGATGCATTTTAAACAGAGAAAAAATCCCAGCTCAACTTACCAACAAGCCTTGCAATCAACTGAATTGTCCTGTCTAACAGTGCACATTAAAAACAGGAGTTTTAGTTTGCACAAATTGCAAATACATGCGTGAGCTGTAGAGCTTCTTTGACACCCCAATGTTCTGCAGAGCCTCCACTGTAGAAGCACATGCATAATTATGGATAGACTGAGGGCAGGTAAGCCTGGAGGGACAGGACAATTTGGTTGGTTGCAAGCTGGTTGTTAAGTTAAGCTGGGAATTTTTCTCTGTTTGAGAGATGATTTGTATATACACTATATTGCCAAACGTATTGGGACAGCCCTCCAAATCATTGGATTCAGGTGTTCTAATCACCTCCATGCCACAGGTATATAAAATCAAGCACCTAGGCATGCAGACTGCTTCTACAAACATTTGTGAAAGAATGGGTCGCTCTCAGGAGCTCAGTGAATTCAAGCGTGGTACCGTGATAGGTTGTCACCTGTGCAATAAGTCCATTCGTGAAATTTCTTTGCTACTAAATATGCCACTGCCAGTTGTTAGTGGTATTGTTGCCACTTGCTTCCACTTTGTTATAGCAGCAACTCCGCCACAAAGTGGTAGGCCACGTAAAACGTCAGAGTGGGGTCAGCGCATATTGAAGTGCACAATGCTCAGAAGTTGCCAGCTGTCTGCAGAATCAATAGCTAAAGACCTCCAAACTTCGTGTGGCCTTCAGATTAGCACAACAGTGCATGATGAGCTTCATGGAATGGGTTTCCATGGCTGAACAGCTGCATCCAAGCCTTACATCACCAAGTGCAATGCGCAAACCATTGAATGCAGTGGTGTAAAGCACGCCTCCACTGGAATTTAGAGCATTCATATTCTCTGAAGTGACGAATCGTGCTTCTCTGTCTGGAAATCTGATGGATGTGTCTGGATTTGGTGGTTGCCAGGAGAACGGTACTTGCCTGACTACATTGTGCCAAATGTAAAGTTTGGTGCAGGGGGATTATGGTGTGGAGTTGTTTTTCAGGGGTTGGGCTTGGCCCCTTAGTTCCAGTGATGGGAACTCTTAAGGCATCAACATATCAAGACATTTTAGACATTTAATGCTCCCAACTTTGTGGGAACAGTTTGGGGATGGCCCCTTCCTGTTCCAATATAATAGCACACCAGTGCACAAAGCAAGGCACATGAAGACATGGATGAGTGAGTTTGGGGTGGAAGAACTTGACTGGCCTGCACAGAGTCCTGACCTCTACCTGATAGAACACCTTTTGGGATGAACTAGAGCAGAGAATGTGAGCCAGGCCTTCTCGTCTGACATCAGTGCCTCACCTCACAAATGGGCTTCTGGAAAATTGGTCAAACATTCCCATAGACATACTCCTAAACCTTATGGACAACCTTCCCAGAAGAGTTGAAGCTTTTATAGCTGCAAGGAGTGGGCCAACTCAATATTGAATCCCCCTACGGACTAAGACTGGGATGCTATTAAAGTTCATGTGCGTGTAAAGGCAGGCGTCCCAATACGTTTGGCAATGTATAGTGATATTTGTTATTGCGTTAGTCTTCTTTGAGCGCATGATTTGTTTGCTTTCTTGTATGGATACACTTTAGGGGAACGTTCTCACCACATGTAGTGGCACTGCGTTAAGTGGCTATTCCAGCAAAGCACCACCGCATGACAAGAAAAAAATTCCTTGTCTCCCTGTCTACCCGTTGTTTTGGGTTTTTTTTTTCCCCCCTTTGACATGTCAATAAAATTCATTAAAAAAAAAAATGTGAACAGTGCGATGTGCTGAGTTCATTTCATGAGCACTGCGCTGATCCGGACGGGCTGCTCCACACACCAGCCACTACATTGTATCCCCTAATCATGTGTGCAGTGCTCTGCAGGCTTCTAAGATAAAAAAATAAATGCAGTTTTTTTTTACTTGCAAAAATGTGCATGTGAAAGTTGTTTGGTATAAATATATAATATGCTTGTGTGTGTGTTTGATGCTGTTTATTTTTACATGTATATGAGCTTGTGCTGTAATACTGTGTTTTATTGTGTGTCTGGTGGTGCATTCCATAGCACCATCCAGGGGGGTTCATAACGCTTCTTGAATCAGCTGATGATATATATGTTCCTTAATTTACCTGAATAGCTTGCTCAAGCCACAGAGATGCTTTATACACGATTAGACACGATGAATGCAACTTGTGTGGACAGGTAATTATTTTTTTCATGTTGATGGTACAGTTGATAATTAAAAAAAAAAAAAAAAAAAACGGGGACTGTGCTTGACAAATGGTAACCTTATACTAGTTAAACAGGAGTTTAATGCATTAATCTGTGTTAAGTTTAGGCAGCCTACCCAAATTAAGGCGCTGCCAATGCACCAGAACACACAAAGAAACAAACAAGCACCACTTTTTTTTTTCTAATGCACGGTAGTGTTCTGGTGTGCTGCAATCCATTTGCTTTGAAGGTTCGTTGGACATGCCATTGACAATGAAGGTGACAAAACACACTGATGGATGTGCATGGGCCCTTTAGTATGTAAGGTCAGAAACACAAAATTTGCACTCTTTTAGCACAATGCCTTCAAAGCCTCTTGGCGTAAATAAAATATAACTACTTTTAGGTTTTAATGCACTAGTTGCTTACTCCAAGGCTGTGCAACAGTTCAGTACTGTAAATGAACGTTAACTGTGCAGAAAATCAATTTTCCTTGTGGGAAGTATTTGACGCTAACTCTAAAACTTTGCTTGCACACTTTTGTTCTAGTAAAGCGAGCTTGATTGCAAATGGGGGAAGTAAACTACTGGCTTGTATAGAGTGCAGTAGATGTCAAGGTTATGTTTTTAAAGTATGTCAAGCGCCTAAATTAAAAAAAAAAAAAAGTTGTAAGCATTGAAAATGCTCCCAGTGGTATATTTAACAAACCAAATATAGGGGCCAAATAAGGGAAGTTTATTGTTGGCGTTTCATTCACTTTAAGAACAATCCTTTTTTTTTTTTTAAATGCTGAATGTTATAATCTTTTTTTTTTTTTTTTTCACCAGGTTCATAAATTGGTTTTCGCACCATCTAAGTAATTTTCAGTTCCGATGGAATTGGGAAGATTGGTAAGCGTGTTCGTGAATAATAATTAGTTGTTAGCAAAGTGAAACCTATGTAGTACTTTTAAATATCAACTCTGGGGAAAGTAAAAACCCATGCCTTGCAATGGGGCTGCGTTCCCTCATGCCTCAGCTGTGGTCTCTTCCGCTGTGTCCTGAGTTCAGTGCAGAGCTTTGGGCTTTTATGAGGTCAGAGTACTAATCTAGCATCAAAGAGAAGTCCGCTGGAGCTAAAGGCTGGATAAGCAAAACTGCTTTCCAAGTTTCCTAGACATGAAGGAGCATTTAAACCTTAAAATTTGGATGCAGCCCCACTTCAAGGGAGTTGTTTTACACTTTGCGCTTTAGTTTAAAGTGGTTGACAGGTTTATTTTAAAGTGAATCTGTCATGAATGAACTAAGGTTACAGTGTTCCAGAACATAGTTGTTTTAGGCCTTTAAATGTATGCTGCCATTGCAGAGTAATTATAGTTGCAATAGTATTTTTGTACTCACCATAAAATCCTTTTTTTGGAGTCCATTGAGGGACACAGTCTTCTACTGTTGGGTTATACTGCCACCTACAGGAAGATTGGACACTAGAAAACAAATCAAAACAGATCAATGCAGGATAACCCTTCCTCTATTTGGCATGCCTTGGTGTGTTGCAAGGGCATGATCATAGACCTAGAACAGTTGTGAGACCTGTGTTGCCAAATAGACTTTAAAAAAAAAAAAAAAACATTTTACAGTGAGTACACAGGAAGTAATCTACTGTTGGGATGTCCAAAATCAGTCCAACTGTGGTGAGTGGGCAAATAGCAAAAACTATTAACATGCTCAGCAAAAAACAGGATGCAAGACGCCTGCAGCATGAGAGCCACTTAAAGGGCCAATGCCTGGAACGGTCATCAGATGTAGCCGTATCCCATGTCCGATAAGGTCACCTGCCAGCATGACCAAACGTGATTCCTGAGGGGAAAGGAGCAAGTAAACCCCCCAGCAAAGGTAGAACCTGACCATAAACTGATTAAACCGATTACAACCCTGATGGAGCAGTGGATGCAGTTAAATACACTTTCACCAGTAGGCAAGTGGCCCCTCTGAGGTAAGCCCTAAGAAGGATCCTGCTCAAAAAGCAATACTGTCTATCCTTCAAGAATCACAAGACTAGGGATGCTCCTGACGCCTGGGATCCAGTAAAGCAGCAACATACATGGAACAAGGGCTCGAAGTCTTATCACAACAGCAAAGAATGTTCTTCAAAAGGAATTCAAAACATGGGAAAGTAACAGAACCCTTTCTCACAATTCTGTAAATCGGTGAGGGGCATAAGCCCAAGTGTACAGGTGCCACAAAGTCAATAAGGCGTTCTCTGTTCCTGTCAGACAGCATACCTGCAGTAGGAGACTTTTTTTTTTTTTTTCTGCCCAGGGTGATACGGGGTGGTACTCCAGCGTCATTCATCTGCTATATAGGTCTGAGACGCACCTTGGTGTGTGAAGCTCACCTCCATGCCCAAAATTATTATTATACAAGATGTATGTAGCGCCAACAGTTTGTGCAGCGCTTTACAAAATGAAGGTATACATTATAGTTACAATACAATTTGATACAAGAGGAAACCGGGCTCTGCTCATTAGAGCTTACAATTTAAGAGCTAGGAAGAACTGACCTCCAGAGGATCGTACTTAAGGGAATTATCTTGGGTAAGCCAAGACCCATGGTACCAACCAGAACAGGGGCTAAGCTACCTCTCTTGACCCAGAAAGGACCCCATTCCAACAAGAGGGTGAACACACTATGGACTGATCTACCAAAGAACCAAGTCACTTACAGGTGACAGTTTCCAGCACCGAAACCTGACCATACCAGACTCAGTTGGATCTTGCAGGCAGTTGGTCCAAGAAGATGTCATTCAGTAGGGAACATGGCTATTGCTCTTTTTGCAGGAAGTTGTCTGAGCATCCTATAATGTAGATGCCTCGAGAAGGCATTAGGACAGACATCTCATGGATGGGGGCACAGATGGAAATCAAGATGTGAGATGAACTATATCTTATCCCAATATTCAAAAAAAACTACAAAAAAAAAAAGTTTGGCTGGTTTCACCATAAATCACTGTATTTGGGTGGGCACTAAAGCACACTGAACCCTCTAGCCAATGCTGTACTGTTAGTATTATAATATGGGTGGATGTTGCACTAAATCAAAATGAATTGCCAGGGCTGCTTGTGTAGATCATTGCTTATTTTAATTAAAGTAGAATTGCAGCCTAGTGCTAATGAGTTTTAAAAATGTTTCTTATCCCCTTCCCACTAACTTCTCTCTAACCTTGTTTGAAAAAAAAAAAAAAAAGGTATATACTTGCCTATATTTAATCTGCTCTGGTCCGGGCACATGATTCTCTGCTCTGGCTCCCTATGTTGGTCACTGGCAGCTGCAGGGGAGAGAAGAGTGCATACACAATGGCTCTTACATGGGAGCCATTATGGCTGACAGAATTTCCAGGTATTGTCAAGCTCTCCCTTCTCCCCCTGCAACTGCCTCTCACGAGCAACAGGGATCATGTGACTATAGAGATCTGTATACTTAAAATGTTTAAGTATACAGATCTTTTTTTTTTTTTTTTTTTAAACCCAAGTATAGCAGTATAAGTAGCAGGAGGGGGGAGGGAGCATTTTTAAAACTAGTTAGTGTTGAGGCTGGAATTCTACTTTGAGGGAGAAAATACATAAAAAAAGAAAAATGTAAAGCAGCTACCCCCCGTAGCTCACACATAACTTTTTTAATGTCTTTCTGAAGGTGATTCAAATATCAATAATGTGTATCAAAGTTTAGAGGTGACCCACCTCTTACTGGTTACTGAGTCTGCAGGTTAAATAGTAAAGAGCAGTAAGAGGAGAGACTTATAATTGTGCATGCAGACACCAGGGAACGACAGCTTGTCATGAACCACTTGCCCTCTCTGAAAGATTTACCCCCTTCCTGACCAGGCCATTTTTTTGCTATTCGGCACTGTACTGTTTCAACTGGTAATTACACGGTCATGCAACATTGTACCCAAACTAAATGTGTCCTTTTTCCACACCAATAGAGCTTTCTTTTGGTGGGTATTTAATCACCGCTGAGTTTTTATTTTTTGTGATATAAATTTAAAAAAAAAAAACAAATTTTGAAAAAAAAAATATTTTCTACTTTCAGTTATAAAAAGTATCCAATAAACTAAACTAAAACTCCTATAAATTTAGGCCAAAATGTATTCTGCTACCTGTCTGGTAAAAAAAAAAAACAATCCCACTACGTGTATATTAATTGGTTTGTGTGAAAGTTCGTGCCTACAAACTATGGTATACATTATAAATACTGGAATTTACGCAGCTTTTACTTTTGACTGCCTATCACATTTCTTGAGGTACTAAAATGCCAGGACAGTACAAACCCCCCCCAATGACTCCTTTGTGGAAAGTGGACATCCCAAGGAATTTGCTGAAAGGCAAGCTCAGTCTGTGGAAGATATTTTTTAGCCACAAATGTTTGAAAAATGACTTGTGTGGGGTTTTTTTTGTGTTTTTTTTGTTTTTTTTTTTTGTTTTTTTTTTTCACTAAGTTGTCAAGTTTGAGTGATGTTTTTGGCAGCCTATCCATATACAGGCCCCCAAAATCCGATGACCACTTTCAGGCTTTCAAAGGGCATATTTCTTCATATCACTTCCTCACTACCTATCAGTTTCAGAGGCCCTAAAATGCCAGGATAGTAAAAACACCCCCCCTCGAATGACCACTTTTTGGAGAGCAGACAACCCAAGGGATTTGATAAGAGTCATGGTAAGTATTTGATTTTTTTTGTTACAGGGTTTTGAAAAAGAAAAAAGGAAAAAAATTATTTTATTTCTTTTCTTCATTTTCCAAAAACTTTGGCAACAAATGAGATCTGTAAAATACTTACCATGCCCCTTAGCAAATACCTTGGAGTGTCTACTTTCCAAAAAAAAGGATCATTTTGGGAAGGGGGGGGGGGGGGATGCTTCTACTATCCTGATACTTTTTGTTCAAATGAAAAAACATTTTTTTTTGCTAGAAAATTACTTTGAACCCCCAAACACTACATATATATTTTTACAGCAATAGCCCTAGAGAATAAAATGGTGGGTGTTGCAATTTTTTTTATGTCACACAGTATTTGCGCGGTGATTTTGCAAATGCTAATATTTTGGAAAACATACACTTTTTTAAAGTTGATGTTACACCTAGTAAATGGATAACATGACATGCTTTAAAATTGCACATGCCCGAGCATCGGCGACAAAACTACGTACATTTGTAATATCAATAGGCGGCGCTTTAAAAGCCTTTACAGATCACTACTTTATATTTACACAGGGAGTCTACTGCTAGAATTACTGGCCTCGAGCTGATGTTTGCGGCGATGCCTCACATTGTGGGTTGGGGTGAATTTTTTTTTTTTTTTTTCTTTAACTTTTTTTTGTTTTATTAACCCTGTCCCCTTCTTTCTTTTCCTTTTTTTTTCTTTTCCTTTTTTTTTTCTTTCTTTCTTTCTTTCTTTTCCTTTTTTTTTTTTTTTCTCTTTTTCTAGATCAGGGATTTTAATTTATTTTTAACACTTTGCTTTGCAGGAGCAATAAAGATTATTAATATGCAAAGCTTGTTTTAAACAGTCATGAATTAAGTTCATGACCATTCAAATTTAATAGTGATCTGTGATTGGCTGGAGCTGGTCACTTGGTACACGGTGCTGTCATTGGCGCCATGTATTATGTGAGAGCTGTGGACCAATCACAGCTCACCAGGAAGAGAAGCAGAGCTGTTATGAATCATATTGATTCATGACAGCTTTGCTAACATTGTGATCATATGATCACCGGGTCCCGTTCACTGGGATCTTCATCCCACTGTGTCCGCTGAACACAGCAGTGGCGGTTGCTGTGCATCCTTCTGTATTAGTAGAGCCAGAGCAACGTACCCATACATTGCTTTGCCTGTAGCTGCCACCCGTCTACAGTGCAGGCGGGAAGTTAAAGCAGTATTAAACACAAAAGCAAACATTTTTTTAAAAAAAAAAAATATATATATATATTAGAATAAAGTATAAATAAAAAGTGCTTGAATGGTGAAAAAATCACTACAATGTGCTCCGGACAAATTAAGTGTATACAAAAAACAAAGTGCTCCACCTTGACCTTAGTGTTCCTTCACCTAAAAATATATAGATGGCCGCTCACCTCATACCGTGGACCTATACATTAATACAGGTGAACCAAGCATGCTAATTCCAAAAAGATACTCTAGATGGCTGCAGAGAGCTGATGACATTCACCCGTTCAATGACAGTATATAGGGGACTTTTCTCAGCTTAAAGTAGAGTTCCATCCAAAAGGGGAAGTTCCAAAATTCCACTTTAAAGATTGGTCCCCCGCTCCCCATTAAGGATTTGCACCTGGGGGGGGGTACCCGATTTTGACAGGTACCCGCTCCCACTTCCGCTGCAATCGCCTAGGCGATCGGAAGCGGATGTTTTCCTCCTACCTTCCCTCCCCAAAGTCTTGTGGGACACATGACAGGTCCCAGGAGACGACGGGGCCATTCAGGAAGTTCAGCGCTACTCGCGCATGCGCAGCAGGCACCCAGCTGTGAAGCCGCAAGCTGTCACAGTCGGGTGCCCACACTGAAGATGCCAGATTCCTGGAATACAGGCTGGCCAGTAAAACGAGCTGCGGCGGGGGCAACGCGGAATGTGTGGACAGGTGAGTGGCTGTTTTTTAAAAGTCAGCAGCTACAGTTTTTGCAGCTGCTGACTTTTATTTGTTTACAGAGCGAGTGGAACTCCGCTTTAACTCCACATACAGAAAGAACAGAGGACATCTCCCATAGTGTAATACTGTTTATTTCACATAAAATTGTTCGAGTGTCACTCACATGATAGAAGCAGTAACAAATCGATTTAAAATTTAAAAAACTCCCGCTCCGTAAAAATCCGCCAATGACGTCAATAGGCTCTGGTGGTAAAGCTCTGCGCTTGTAAGCGCGAGTTCTTGCATTCAAATCCCTGCACTGGTGAATGCAAACTACATAGTGGGATTGCATTGAACTCCGTGTCAATAAATGGTGGGCGGAGCTTAGTGGCGTCATTGCCGGAACAATTTTATGTGAAATGAAACGGTATTATACTTTGGGAGATGTCCTCTGTTCTTTCTATATGTGGAGTTAAGCTGAGAAGAGTCCTGTATATACTGTCATTGAATGGGTGAATGTCATCCGCTCTCTGCTACCATCTAGAGCATCTTTTTGGAATTACCATGCTTGGTTCACCTGTATTAATTTATAGGTCCACAGTATGAGGTGAGCATCCATCTGTATAGTTTTAGGTGGAGGAATACTAAGTCAAGGTGGAGCACTGTTTTTTTTTTTTTTTTTAAAAGACTTCATTTGTCCGAAGCACATTGTAGTGATTTTTCACCATTCAAGGCCTTTTTTTTATATATATTTTTTCTAATTTATATTTCATATTTTGATTGAACGATCACATTTGAACTTTTTATGGACTATTATGTATATATGAGTTAGCGCAACACTATTTATATATGTTTTAAGTGTGGAATCACCTTTTAAGTGTTATTGCAGCGGCTCTATTTTATTAGCTCATTCACAAGTGTGATAGCGCTTATTGTTTTGTTTTATTTTATGTAAACATTTTTATTATATTGCAACTTACCAATTCCTAGATGTGATGGTTGCATTTGTTTTCTTTTTCAGCTTTTTCTTTTTTCACCTGGTGATCCTGCCGGCAAGTCTGTTAGACAAACCATTTACCACTGACAGGGGTGCTTACAACGATCAGCTTTTTTCCTGAAAAGAGCTAAACTGTTGCTGTAACTTCTTAAAGAGCGTTACCTGGAATTTGGCTTTATTTGTTTAGTGTATGTAATTCTGCTAGTGTATCTAACACGTCCCCTCTCTCCAGACTGACAATGCTGCTGTCCTAGAGTGTCTGTTACTCCTTCATCTGAATATAGGCACTCAAATGCACAAAGTTTGTTACTGGCCAGATCACCAAGTGAAACGGGGATAAAATGCCTAAGAAAAGAAAACTGATGCAGCCATTTCATGAAATGTTTGACAAATATGTTACAATTTTGGTTTTGAATTTAATACTGGTTTAGGATTACAGGAGTAAATAGTATTTCACAGACAAGTTGTTTTTTTCAGTGTATGTGAAACAAATTGTCTTCTTGCCTCCATGTTATAGGTCTGACTGTCTTGCTCAAGATCTAGATAGACCTAAACCACAGTTTGTTCGTGAAGTTTTAGAGAAGTGCATGAGGTAGGTACATGCTTCTCTGTTGCATTTTCTCAATTTTCTGTTCAGCTTCTCAATTTCTCTTCTGTTAATTGAAAGACATAGCTGGAGCTTTAGATCACGACCGGTGGGGTTACTACACCACCCTCAGGTATAGAATGCAAAGTACAACAAAAATAACATGCAACATAGGGGTGGCCCGTGCTGGTGATATCCCGCCAGAGAAATTTCAGAAACTTTTATCTTCACATAGTTGACTGTACTGTTGCTCCAGATTGTCACCTTGTGGTCGCTTTCTTTGCTTTGCAGTTGCTTATGGGTAACATCATACCAGCACTCTACAGTGGGAGATTCTGGCCAAGTTGCCTCCTGACAGGGTGTCCTTGCCTTAGTGGTTTCATTCTCCCTTACTGCTATCTGGTTAATCCTTCTTCCTTCTTTGTCCAAGGGTCATTCCAACAGATTGTCAGCCTGTTCAGTCCAGGGGCAGTACTGGATCAGCTGTCTGTACAGAGTCAAACCCAGGAGGGGAGACCACTCCTTTTCAAGGGTTGCCTGATTCCGGCCCAGTCAGACAGTGCCAGAGCTGTGGCTTACATAAATTACTAAAGCAGTACGAAGAGCTTAGAAACTGCACTGGAAGTGGCATGAATCCTAGATTGAGTGGTACCTCATGTCCTTGGCTTGTCCGCTGTTCATATCCTGGGAGTGGACAGTTGGCAGGTGGACCATCTGAGTCCTCAATGTCTAGATTAAGGGGAATGATTTCTCTATTTTGTCTTTAGTTAGATTTTAGGATGTCTTTAATTAGATTTGTCACTGCTGTGGTGCGCCAGACGTGGATCACAAAGTTCTCAGGTTTGTAGTCAGCACAAGGGATCCCTGGGCCATTGCGACAGATGTGCTGGTGGGACAGCTACTCCTGATTTTATGCCTTCCCTCCTCTGGAGCTACTACTCAGATGTTGTGCAGGAAATAGCTGGAGGGCATACTAGTAATTCTGGTGGCCACAAATTGGCTGAGCTGGGCTTTTATTTTTCGGACCTTTGTCCACTTAGTCATGGATGTACCATGTCATTTTCTGTTATGCCTGGACTTTCTCTCCTAAGGCCCAATATACTACCCTCTTTTACAGTCGCTGGGTTTAACAGTATGGTGGTTAACCCAGGTGCTGAAGGGCCCCTCTCCTATCATCTGCAGCCATTATGCTTAGGGCTCAGAAGTCCACCTCCAGCAATGTGCGAACTTGCGCTCTATTTCACATTTCAGTGTTTTTGGTTTGATTATATTATTGAATTTAAATTTTTTATTTTTATATGATTATTTATTAAATTATAATTTAGATGATTTTGTGTTTCAAATTTTATCATACCCGGGATGTTTACTAGACTCTTGTTCGGTAAACCCAGATTTCAGTGAGTTTTTCCTAAAAATTTACAGCCTACAATAAAAAAAATACATATTTCCATGCAAAAAAACTTGACGCGCTATTTAACTTTAAACCTTGATGGCTCATTTCCCTTGGTGCGAATTGCTGGGTTTTTACATTTGCAGCTTTTCTTTTGCATGTATTTTGGCCTTCAACAGGGTATGGGCTGACTGATGGCCCAGAGCACTGCGAAGAGTCAGGTTACCACTTTCCACCAATGCCCTTTTGGCTTCGCTCTCCCTGGTTTGTACTTTCATCGAGGGGATTACACAAGTTGTTCCATCAACAGGACCCTTGCCAAAAGCCTTTGGATCTGAATTTCGCTGTCAGCTCTGCAAAAGCCTCTGTTGGAGGACATTTGGGAACTTCCCCTACTGACTGTCTCGCAAGAGATGGCCATCTTGGTGGCAATCACTTTGGTGCACAGGGTGTCAGAACTGGAAGCTCTCTTGTATGCAACCATTTATGGTGCTACACAGGAACAAGGTGGTACTTTGTCCTCGGTTGTTTTGGCATTTTTTAAATGACATCATCTTGCCTTGTGTTTCCCAATTCCTCCTATTCTAAGGAAGTTGGCACTTCAATTATTGGATGTGGTTGGGGCTTACCTGGATTCTACTCGCCTCTGTTCAAAAGATGGATTCCCTGTTCATAGTCATAGGCTAGGCTTTCAGGAAGGGGCAGGGGCTTCGAAGTCCAAAATTTCCAGGTGGATCCATCATATTTTAGATCAGGCTTATGCCATTTCAGGTCAGGAACCTCCCATTACTGTTCTTTCTTCCAGGCCTCTGAGCAGACCTTGGGCCTTTCATCAACTGTGCCTCTGTTTCTCAGGTTTGCAAGGCAGCTGCTTGGATATCTGTTCATTCTTTTGCCAAGTTCTACAAAGTTGACATTGCTGCTTCTGCGAATGTTAGTGTTGGCCGCAAGGTTTTGCAGGCAGTGGTTTTTAGTTTTGCTGGGGTGTGGTTCTGCTTTTTGCTATGTTTGGTTGAGATACTCTGAGCCCGCCCTCTTGCATTTTGGCACTGCTTGGAGTCATCAGATTGGTAACAATCTAATTATTATCCACCTGTGTTTTTCAATAAACAAAAAAGAAAATGGGATTTTTGTACTCTCCATAAAATCCTTTTCTCTGCCTTCATTGAAGAACACAGCATCTGCCCTCTTTGTGTAATTTTTGGCCTCAGTTGTTCCCGTTTACTGCTGGCCACTAACTTAATGGTGTGTTGCAAAAAAGGGTTTGGCCACCAGCATGGGCCGTTCCTAGGTTGTTTGCTTTTTTTTTGTTGTACCTGGTGTCCTACTCCTGCAGATGGCATACTAAATTGTTGGTCATGATAAAGATCCAACTGTGTCCTTAAGTGATTACAGAAAAAAGGATTTTTTTTTTTTTTTTTGGTGAGTACAAAAAAACATGTTTTTCTTCTAATGGCCTTGCTCAGCTTTGTATGCCAGTTTCATGACCAAGTTTTATAAAATATATGAAACCTCAATGGTTCTGTCCAACTTAAACCTGATGTTTCATGTTTTGGTGGCAATGAGCAGATTGCATTATTCCTATATCTCCTAAGTGAGGTCTGCGTATCTGGATTATTTGATCATTGCCACAATTTAAGTCCAGTCTCTTCTTTTTCTATTCTCTTTATGACCTCAATACCTGAGCACTGGAAAATCAAAAGTGGGACACGGACTGTTTTTTTTTTCAGCATATTTTATTATAGTAAAAGGTCATTCTGGGATGGTTTTCATTGCTAGATGCCATATACAATATTTAATTCACGATAGCCCCCTTTTTTGTGTGGTTAAATGTAGACTTTAAATAGTTTAAAAGAAAATTATGTAATTTCCTTTTTAATTATTTTTTTGAACTACAATGTCTTTGTTTTTTGTTTGCCTAGGCTTTCTTACCATCAGCGGATATTGGATATCGTACCCTCGTCATTTTCTGCCTTGTACCCAGCAGAGCCCAAGTGCATTAATAAATATGGGGATGAGAGTAGCAGTAAGTGTTACTAGTCTAAGCATTCTTTCGTGATAATGGTTTATGGTTTTCTGTTTTTGACTTTCAAGTCACTCTGCCAGGAGCTCTAGCTACCAGATATAAATATTCAGAACCTTGCTTACACGAAACCTAGTATTATGTTCTAATACGAATCCAGACATTGACAGATTTGGTGAAAAAATGTTAACTGTATCTTGGTAGTAAACTGTTGTATATGTTTCTTGATTATGTATTTCCCTTTTAATACGAAACACGTGTAAATTTAAATAACAGGTTATTTTAGATTAATTAGGTACAATATTTAAATTGTTTCTTAGCAGTCCAGGATCTGCTAGCATGCATAGAAAAGCAACAGATTCACTTTAATGCTGCTTACGTTTCATCCCTGTGTAAGGCTAGCCATACATTACGCAATTTTCTTTTCTTTAAACGCAGTCAGTGTTGATCGGGGAATCCCTCCCACAGTGCTATTCTGCCGACAGGAAGTCTTTCCCACCAGCAGGATACAGTGATGACTACTGGCTGCTATAGCTGATCGCTTGAAAAAAAAAAAAACCTGGCAGGCTGGTTGTACTGAAGTGGATCAAAAAAATTTACTTCATTACAATAAGCCTGCCCATAGATGGATCGAAATTCGGCTGATACCTGCTGAACAGGCCCAATTTTGATCCATCTAGTTTAGTCACTGTAGTTTGTAGGGGTATGTCTCCTCAGACTTCTGTAAGCTACAATGTTTAAACTCTGCAGAATCAGAAATCTGAACACTGTTTTTTTGATAGCTTTATCCAGTAAACACATTAAATTATATAAAAGGCTTCATTGTAAGGAAAATTCCAATATCTCTAAAGTTATCCTGTATGGGGTGTTTACCTTGGCACTTGGTGTAGGGCGTTGAGTTAACTACAGGGTGCGATACAATTTAAGAGCTGTGGTCCATTGCTATGGGACAGAGTCCCTGGAAACCTTTTCGGGGGTTTGGCTACCATGATGGGCAAAGCCTGGACTTGTATATAGCTGAGCATTGTAGATGGGTACGGCAGGATCACCCAGTATCCGTTACTGTGCAAAACGGAGCTAGGTTTGGTTTGTAAAATTCAACCAGTCAGAGCTCAGTTTTAAGTGGATGGACCAGTTGTTACTTCATATCACTGGCTGCACACATTAACGCTGCTTTCACCTACGGCAGGCCTACACAACACAACTGCAGAGTAAAGATGTTTCCGTGCATTGGAGAAGGAACTAGTTTTAACACCAATCTCAGCATCTGAACCTAGCTCTTGACACTCAACAAGCGACCTACTTGACAAAAGCAGAATTCTCTGCATCCGAATCACAATTCCTAGGACAGATAACGTCCATAATTCAGCCGTCTTTGGTTGAGAAAATGTGCGGTGTTTCTAAGCTCTAAACAGAGTTGGACCATGTTATGCTGGTCTTAGACGATGCTGAATCAAAGGGGAATTAAGTGGATGTAGAGGCAGTATTGGAGGAAGCTTCAGAAGATTTCTTGACCTTTCACAGTGTTGCTTTAAAGTGGGAGCTTTACGTGCCTATGCCTAGCAAGATCAGCGGATCAGCGGTAGTTATGTGCCTAGAAATACAAAATGTTCTCTTCCTATTTTCTCATTGGAACACAGCTGAAGCAAACCCTTTGAAAGGGGGCTCTGTGTATATGATAAATGTTGGAGTTTCTAAAACCTAACTCTGAGCAAGACCAAATTTCTCCACTGGCAGGCTCAGCCCTGCAACCAGCTCTTGCTGCTATTTTATGTCAAACCACTGCTAACTGGACTAGAATCATGCAGTTGCAGTCCAATTGCAACAGCTACCCTTTGCTCTTCTGTGTAGAAGCCCTAGAACACATGAAACAACATCTAAAATGACTTTAATCTCCATTCATATGTACAGAATTCTCAGCTTGGACAGCAGAAGCTGCCTTTTAAAAGACTCTTCACATGTAAGCCTTTTGAAGTAAGATGTTTAATTGGTGAGGCACTTGACCAATTCATCAAGGTCACATGTGGAAAAGTTTTGCTTGACTATCCCCTCCCTTGAGAGCTATTTAGCGCCTGTAAATGCAGAGCACCTCCATTCTTTCCCCAGGCTTAACCTTCAGAACCAGAGTTCAACCCTTCCTTTGGAAAGAAGTCTTGCCCCAAAGGGACTCCCCCACTTCTAAGTGTGGGGGATGTCTAGTGCAGTTTGCATCTCTCTGGGTCACATATGTCCCAGACCTGGGGGTTCAATCGTTTTCAAAAAGGGCACAAGATGGAGTTCACAACTCTTCCACATAACCTGCTTTCTTCTTTCAAATCAACCAAAAACTGCCTGGGGGCGGTCAGATTTGCAAAATGCCCACATCTTGTCCCAGGGAGTAGTTATTATATTTGTACAACCAGCCTTTAAATGGGAGGCTGTCTAGATGACTCTCCTGAAGGATTTATCTCTCGCAACTCTCAGAAAATTGTCCACAACAACATTCAGCTGCTCCGGGCCTTTGGATGAAACACTTTATGAAAAAAAAAAATCTGCTCTAGAATGTGCCTCGAATACGTGGGCCTTATCCTGGATACATCCTAGGCAAAGGATGTCCTTCCAGAGAAGAATGTTCATGCTCAACAACTGAAATTCAAAAGAAATCGAAGTGAGATTCAATATGAGATTTCAGGGTCTAGTGGTTGGCTCCTTTGAGATTCCTTTTTCACCCAATTCCATTCAAGAATTCACCAACTAAACACTCTGTTAGCATGGAAAAAGCAGGCCCTTTTCCTGGATCTACCCATGCTCTCCTATATTCCCAAATAAGAAAGTTCTTGTCCTAGTGGATCACCACTTCTACTCTAACAATGGAAAAGTCTGTCCTGTCCTACAATTTGACTTAGGCCAGGTTCACACCTAAGCGTTTTGCAGAAATGCACTACAGTCCATTTAACATGATTTCATATGGAATACGTTCACATCTCTGTGTTTTCACCCGATGCGGTTTTTAGAAAGGGTCAGGGACTTTTTTAAATGAAAAAAGTTGTGTTTTTGGTCCTGTAGACTTCAGTGATAACGCTGCAGAAAAGCATGTAGAGTGTTTTTTACCTTGTTTTTTATGTGTTTTAAATCTGCCTAGTAACAAGGAAAAACAAGCGCATCAAAATGCATAAAAAACGCATGTGTCAAAACGCACTGCAGAAACGGATCAAACGCAAACTGCATAGGTGTGAACCCAGCCTTACAGAAGATCCCTGGCCTATTCCCTATAGGCCAGATCTGCTATTTTAAGGGCCTCTATTCCACTGTGCTTCAGTCTCTGGCTTTATTGGCATGGCCTTTAAAACCTAAGTTTTAAAGGATAGAGGGGTTCCTGAGTCTATCATTCATACCCTGTTGAAAGCCATGAAAGCTACTTCCAGAAAGATTTGTTATGGTACTTGGAAGTCTTTCTTCAGTTGGTGTGACTGCAGTCAGTTCAATCTACTGTGCCTCACATTCTGGCCTTCCTATAAACCGATCTTGACCAGAATTTTGCTTGTAGCACCCTGAAAGGGCAAGCTTTGGTCTTATCCATCCTTTTCCAAAGGCCTTTGGCTTTGCATTCCCTTATAAAAACCTTTTATTCAAGATGTTTAACATATTATGCCCCCTATGCAGCACCTTGTTCTTCCCTACGACCTTAATTTAGGTGTCTCTGCTTTGCAGAAATCACCCTTTTAACCCAAGGTTGTCAGCAAAGTAGTCTGTAAGATGTGTCTCTGAACTAGTGGCCCTTTTTCTGTAAAAAGCCATTCCTCTTCACGACAACAAGATTGTATCATGCCTTGGATCATACTTTCCTCCAAAGGTGGTTTCAGCATTTCATCTCAATGAGGACCTTGTTCTGCCATCCTTTTGCCCTGCTTCTAAGCATCCAAAGGACGTCTCGTATTGCCTGGGCATAGTCAGAAATTTGATTATACCTAAAAGATACCACTTCCATTAGATAAATGGATTACCTGTTTGATCCTTCCTCGATACCTCACAAGGGGCACCCTCCTTCAAAATCCACCATTGCATAGTGAAAAAGGAATTGAATTACAAGAGGTTATGCTAAAAAAAACAGAGACACGGCGGATCACGATCAACGAAAAGAGCCGAAGATGTCAACTTGGTCATGTGATCATGTGTCCAATCACAGCTGATAACATGTAAACAGGGAATTGCCAGTTATCGGCATTTCTTTCCTCACGAGCTGTCACGCTGACAGCTCGAGAGGAGAGCCGGTAATCGGCATTCCTCGGAGGGGACATGTACACAGATTATCAGAGCACTGATGATCAGTGTAGCCCCAGCAGTGCCACCTGCCAGTGTCCATCAGTGCCAGCTCTCAGTGCTCATCCATGCCACCTGCCAGTGCCCATCAGTGCCACATTTCAGTGCCCATCTGAGCTGCCTGTCAGTGCCGCCTATCCGTGCCGACCAGTGATGCCTGTCAATGCCCATCAGTGCCACCTACCAGTGCCTCCTCCTCAGTGTCCATCAGTGCAGCCTATCAGTGCCCATTACTACAGCCTCATTAGCATACATCAGTGAAGGAAAAAAAATCACTTATTTACAAAATTTTATCATAAAAATGAAAAAAACTTTTTTTTTTTCAAAATTTTCAGTTTTTGGTTTAAGAAAAAATAAACCCAGAGGCGATTAAATACCACCAAAATAAAGCTCGATCTGTCACAAAAAAAGATAAAAATTTCATATGGGTACAGTGTTGCATGACCGTGCAGTTGTTCAAAGTGTGACAGCGCTGAAAGCTAAAAATTGGCCTGGGCAGGAAGGGGGGTATAAGTGCCCTGTAGGCTAGTGGTTAAACAGAATCTTCCAGCGGTTCACTGTCACCGTTACAGGTGCTTCCATTTTGCCCATTCGTCCTTTTGGTTCTGTACTCTCTGGCCATTTGAATGCCTGGGCCACAATAGCATCACTCCTGTTCACTGTACCTATAGATAATCCTTATTATACGCTTACCTGTAGGTGCAAGTAAAACATTTTACTACAGCTTTAAGTGAGGTATCTAATTGTAATAAACTTATTCCCTTGCTTATCGTTTAATAAAGGACAGTACAATTTATCATATCTGTTAATGCATGTTGGGAATGATTACTATGTTTTGTTTACATTTCAGGTGCTCTACCTGGATATGCAGTTGCTGTGACTTTAACAACTTCCATCAAAAATAAGGCCATGAATGATGATATTTTTAATATTTTAAAAGATTTACCAAATCCAAATCAAGATGATGATGATGGTAAGTATGTCCTGCTTTTTGCAGCACCACGTTTTTGGAAAAGACATATTGAACACTGAACAGAATAAATTGAGCAGTAAGGCAGGTTATATAGACTAATTCATTATTTTGCGTGATTTTGCTATAATTTTCCAATTTATTTAGTTTTTTTGTTTCATATTGCTTGTAGATGAAGGAATCAGCTTTAATCCACTTAAAATAGAAGTTTTTATGCAGTGCCTGCTGAACCTGGCTTGTAAATCTTTCAGTCATTCATTTAGCGCACTTGCAAAGTAAGTAGAACCTGTCTCTGAATTAATTTAACTGGTTGTAGTGTGTGCCTTTTTTTTGTTAGTGTTTTTGTTTAGAATATTTACTATTTACATAATTGCTGTTGCTTTTTTAAAGATTTCATGACGTAATAAAAGCACTAACTGACAGTGAAGAAGGGAAGATTCATATTCTGAGAGTTGTTTATGATGTCTGGAAAAACCATCCCCAGGTACAGATTTTGAGATTGTTTGATGGCTAGAAAAACAATTGCCAGTTGGTGTGTGGTTTTGTTTTTTTTTTTTTTTTTTTTTTTTTTAAAGAAAAATCCACCCAGCAATGATATTTCAGTAATGGGTGCTGGTGTTCAATCCCTGTTGTTTACTTGTGCCTGTCCCCTTTGGATAGGGAATATCACATACCATTGATTTCTAAATGTGGTGGTTGGGGTCGTGTAAGTATTTGTTGACTAAATTTTGTATGTCCCCCATTACAGTTAATATATACTCTAGAGCAGGGTTTCTCAACCAGGGTTCCTTGGAACCATAGGGTTCCTCCAGAGGTTGCCAGGGGTTCCTTGAGCAATGAGCAATTTTTGCCTCTCAGGTAAGTTCCCACTGACACCATTGATCTTTTTAGCTATCTGTAAGGGTGTAATTCTTCCCAATGACCACGAGTGTAAGGAGCATTCTTACCTCTGACTATCAATATATCATGAATTGTAAATAAAGTCATTTTTAGCAGGGGTTCCCTGAGACCGGAAAATTTATGTCAAGGGTTCCTCTGCAGTGAAAAGGTTGAGCGAAACTGAGCTAGAGGCTGTTATATTGTTGGAAGCAAATTAGGATTTTTGTTTACACCATTATCTTTAAATAGAATGTTATTTTACATTTTATAATGACAGGTTAAAGTAAATGTCACTGTAGCACACTTAGATGAAAACCATTTTTTCTTGATAAATCCATAGAGGGATACAGTTTGATGGTAAGAAACCTATGGGTATACTGTTGCCTACAGGCGAAATAGACAGTAGGCACATAGAAAACTGAAGGCCAGTTTTCCTGAGGCTATAACATTTGTTCCCACCACCACCCATGCAGGGGTGCTCTCGATCATCGATTTTCTTCACTTTACTATAAGTCAAAGCCACTGTAAGTTGTGTTTTTTTTTTTTTTTTTTTTTTTTTTTTTTTTGTTTTTTTTTTGTTTTGTTTTTTTATATTATTGTGTGTGCATGCTTTTGGATCTTGCCTCAGCCCAGAGAAAGTTTCACAAAGGTTCTTGCACAGATTCTGGGTCTTTGTCTTATAGGTATTCCAGTCATTTGATGCCTTGAAAAATCTACTGTTCGAGCAGATCTTCCTGGCCTTGGACTCTTTTATGTGTCCTTTATTCTATTTTGGATGAATGCTGAATACCATGCATTTGTCTCTGATTCCATGACATTGCGTGGAGTCCTTGGGCTTTTCTTCTAGGTACCCTTCAGGCCAAGGCCTTCTTGTCACAGTAGAAGTAAACAAAACTGCAGAGTTTGGTTTGGCAAGGTCAATTCCTGCGTCTGTCTTCCCTGAGGAGCTGCGTGTAAGTTCGGACATTTTATTCCTTTGAAATGGAAGATTGTCAGGACGGATGCCAGTCTTCAGGATTGGGGTGGAATTCTCGGCTCTCTGTTCAGGGTTGTTGGTCTCAGGTAGAATCAAGACTTCTAATGAACATCTGGAGTTAAGAAAAACGAGTCTGTTGTTGCTTCAGTTGTTTATCCTGTCCTGGGAAGAGCTCCATTTGGTCCACAGTAAACATTTCCAGGGTTGAAAACTGGCAGGCAGACTCTCAGCAGACAACACCTGGACTTGAGGGGATAGTCTGTCTGTGTAGGGGACTTTGGTTGTGTATCTACTAGCTTCTGTGTTCAACAGGAATCTGGACAGGTTTTTTTCAAGATCGTGGGATCTGATGGGCAGCAGATGTCCTTGATTTAGTACTATCAAGGTAAGGTGTCTGCCATATCTGTTCTTTTTCAACACCCTCTTGCGGAGTACATCATTTTTTTTTTTTTTGGAAAAGCGCTTCTTTCCACAGCATGACCCCCTTGAATGGGCTGTTAAGCCCTTTTGATACTGAGGGCAGTAATATTAAGTGCCATTTTTGTAGGGATGGGGATGCTTAAAAGGCTCATGCAAGACATGGATTTCGAGACGGAATAACACCCAATAAGACATCTATGTTTCCAAATTAAAGCTCAGAAATCTACCATCTTGAAGATCAGATATACGGCATAGGAAAAAACATAACAGGAAAAAACAATAAGGACATAATCACAAACATCAGCACACACTTTTTTTTTTTTTTTCTTTGAGGGGAAGAGAAATATCAGCAATGTGTTTTTCCTGCAGAGGGCGGGGATGTGATTTGGTTTGAAGAGTCTATAAATCCTGGTCAATTATTGGGTCATGAAGAGACAGCTCTGGGACTAGGGTCTTAAAGAACTGTTGCAGATATGGTGTGGGGTCAGTCCCCTGTACGGACTCAGGAATGCCCCTAAATTTTAATATTTTTTCTCTAGGAGTAAACCTCCAGCTCCGTCAGTTTATTGGTGATACTTTGGAGCTCATATGAGTGATTCTGATGAGCTTCCACTAGCTTTTATATAAGCTGTGGTAAAATCACCTAGCTGCCGTTCTACACGGTCAGTGCATTTGCCCGAGTGATCTGCATGGGATTGAATCAGAGTAATAGATTTCTATAATTCTCTGTGTAAATATTTCTGGGGAGACATAAACATATGCTTTAGCCCCAGTTCATGTTTGTGGCTCTGCGTGCCATGAGTGCGTTGGTATGGCAGGCTGTTTCTTTGACAAAATCCGTTCCTCTCACTATTTCAGAAACAGGATGCCTCCAATCACCCTCTTCCATTGCCTGTAAAAGTAATCCAGCAGCTCTTTAGCTGCTTGGATTACCTTTACTTTGTTCAGCATCTCCAGCTCTAGAAAAAAAAATATCTCGGTCATCGCTGCAGTGATGACTGAGATATTACCCATGACATCCAACATCGTACCAGTAGGTCGCTGGCCATCAAGTGGGTAAAATGATACTAAACACACTTTAACTTAATTATCCTTTATCTTTCTGTATGTGGATGATGGCACTGTAATTATTTCTATTAAAAAAAAAAATCCAGGTACCTTTTTTCCTGATCAGTATACAGCTGTCACATGACCCAGCTTGTCTGCAGGTAAGCATAAGCAGGAGGAGCTTCTAGTCCTCTGCTGCTGGTCACATGTTCAAAATAAAGAGCGCGGCCTTTGGGATACACAGCAAAAATAAATGTGTTTGTATGATGATTTAAAACAGTTTATTGATATTGACTGCGATAGTGCGGTGGACTAACTGATGGTGTGGGGAACTGACACTGACGTCACCAGTGACACTAATACAGTGATCAGTAATCATATTTTATACTGCCACTGTACTAATGACACTAGCTGAGAAGGGGTTAAATGTGTGCTTAACAATGTGTAATGAGTGTATTATGTGCTGCTTTTACTAAAAGATCTTTTTCTCACCCCTGAGATACAGATTGTTCCTTCTGTACAGAGCCCTGTGTTGATCGTCAACGCAAGTCTGTGGGCTGTGATTGCACACAGGCAATGAGCAGGTCCCAGCCATGAATCAATGTGCGGGACCTGCTGACAGACTCTCGCTGTGACTGTACAGTCACAGTGAGTGTCGGGGTGGGGCGCTGTAAACCAGGAAGCAGACAGCAACGTACCAGTATGTCGCTGTGCCTGCATGGGCCGCTCATCCACAGTACATTGTGGGCAGGCAGTTCGGAAGTAGTTAAACTATTGTATCTACCATTGAAAATATGACTCTAATATTTAAATAATTTTCTTTGTTTTCCGTGGTATATTAGTCTGCTGATTTGATGTGACAAATAATGCACATGAAAATAGTTTTGTCATTTATACATGAAAAAAACTTCACCTACTTTTGTATTTTACAGATGATTACCGTTCTTGTAGATAAGCTTATACGGACCCAGATTGTTGACTGTGCTGCTGTAGCCAATTGGATTTTTTCACCTGAGTTATCCAATGAGTTTACAAGGTAATTTTCTCTGTTCTTTGGTGTTTGCTGGTAATCAAAGTATCTGACACCTATATCTACCATAGTGATTAACTGTCTGCCATTTCTACTTCAAGAATTCACATGATCTCATGCATGGTTTGAGGCTATGAGTCCTAGAAACGTTTAAAAACCTCCATGTATGTTTTTTATACTATAGATTATGAACTTTGGACATAGCTAGTAGTAGTTATCCAAATTCAACTGAACTTGTACTGTATTGCGGATGTAAATTTTGTGTTTTGGAACTTTGTTTTATAGATTGTACATTTGGGAAACGTTGCATTCTACAATTAGGAAAATGAACAAACATGTTCAGAGAATTCAGAAGGAGTTAGAAGATACAAAACAAAGATTGGCCAAGCAACACAAACGTGTATGTAATCTAGAGAGCAAATGTACTATTTCTGTGATTTTAGCCTTAAACTGAAGGGTGTTATGCTATTTGGGTGCTAATATTAGAAGGCTGCTTACCAATAACAAAATGGTTAGGTCTTGTCTCAAAATAATCAGTCTGAGATACTTCTGAGTAGATTCAGAATTCCTTTGACCTGCAGCTGACCTCCTCCTGACCTGCATTTGACTTTCTTCAAGCTGATTTTGTATTCCCATAGACATGTTTTGGGAATGCAACACCTGTTTTGAAGCGAAAAAAAGCCCATAGACACATTTCCTCAGGTGTGTAGTCAGGTTAGCCCTGCATTTTTTTTTTTATTTTTTTTTGCTATTTTTTATTATATTTGCACATACAGGTGATTTTGAAAGTACCAGATGAAGTAACATTATACTTCTTGATGGGCCTTACAATAGGGGTAGTGTTGGCATTGGATGAATTTATAACTTTACCTGCATGCCCCACTGAGGCTCATGAATGTCAAATGGCTGAGCTATGCTGTGCTAATTTAAAAATCCATCTGAATGTACAAACTCCAAATCAGGAACTCCAGGCTATGAGTGAGCTACTGATGTACCTTAGGAAGCACTGGCTGAACCCAACCCCAACAACTGTGCGAAACCGTATTTCAATGAGAATCCAGTACATACCGATTTATTAGACTTCTTTCAGAGGGAAGACTGGGGGCCCCTTATAATATAATTTGATGTTGTAAACCTTTCATGTTAAAGTGGACTCAGAAAGAAAAACTCATCATAGTGAATACAGTGTAATGCATATTCTAGGACCCTGATTTAGGGTTATAGAAAAGGAGGGTAAAAACTGTTTTAGGTACTTGGGTTTTAAGGGAGCTAGGTGCTGCAAATTGAATGAAAGAATAAAAATTAAAGGCATGCAGATGTTGATGTTTAACTGCAAAATTGTTCATGTTTGACAAATGTTTAAATTTATTTTTCCAAGACGTCAGTGAATCTCAGACTATAAAAAAGCAGCTCTATTGGGAAGGGATTTTCATTGTAACATTATAGTTCTATCATCAGTCTTCATTAGCTGCAAATAAAGTTTCTTTTTTTCTATACAAAAGCACAAAACCTTTTAAACAAAGCTAAAATTGAGACCTCACGTAGACGTTCAGGGACACAGGTCAGCTTCATCAGACAGGTGACATACATATTTGTAATTGCTTTCAGAGAGACACTGATGACGACAGTGGAAGGGAGGATGGGCCCCTGGAGGAACAAATAGAGCGCCTACAAGAAAAAGTGGAGTCTGCTCAAAGTGAACAGAAGAATCTTTTCCTTGTCATTTTCCAGGTAATTAACGCAACTAAATGTATCCACTGCTCCTTTTTCACTAGTGGTTTAGAAGCTTTAGAAATGGTTGTTCTCTTTCAGCGCTTTATCATGATTCTGACAGAGCACTTAGTACGCTGTGAAACTGGAGGCATTGATGTGATCACTCCATGGTACAAGAACTGTATAGAAAGGCTTCAGCAAATCTTCCTACAAGTCAGTAATACTTTCCTGAATGGTGTCTTTTTGGGGAATGAACTGCTGTAGCATGCCACTAACCATAATATTTGTTTCTTTCAGCATCATCAGATAATCCAGCAGTACATGGTGACACTGGAAAATTTGTTGTTCACAGCAGAATTGGACCATCATATCCTGAAAGTCTTCCAGCAGTTCTGTGCACTACAGGCTTAATACAAACACTGGGATCTTGTCTGCACCTTACAGAGCTGAAGGCTAATTGGATACAGTACAATGTTTTTAAACAAAACTATTGACACATTTTACATGTGGTTCTAGTAGATTAAAGAGACTTTTTTGCTAGTATTTAAAATGATCTGACTTCAGTTCAGGAATACAATATGAGTTTCTAGCAAAATAATACCTTTTTTCTTTTGGATTTTCCATGAAGCTTTAGCATTCATGTGGTTTGGATTTCCCCATTATCTTTGTAGTCCTATTATAGAATATTTTAATGTATTGGTATGCCTCCTTGTTGCAATGTGAAGATAGGAATCAAATTTTGTAAAGGGGCTGTACAACTTATAATTTTTTTTATTATCTACAAAAATATTGGAGTTGTGAAACTTCATTTGCTTGCTTTTTTTTTTCCCCATGAAATGTCTTATTTTTGACACTGTCTCAATTTGAATACAGAAAAAGTTGTTTTTAAAAATGATCATTGTGCTTTTTGTTATTGTCTGCATATATAAAATGAATCTGTAACAATTCAAAGCATCTGTGTGGGAAGTCATAGAAAAGCTTATCCTTTGCCTCTTCGGTGATGGCCCATTTCAGGTTGGTGATGTCTTTCGGTGAAGCTAAATAGAATCTCATAGTCTGTTTGCTCTCTTCAAATTTGTACTGTTTTGGTACTGCTTGTAATATAGAGGAGCTATAACTATAACCAAGATCAAACTTGGTTTCTCTGTTTTAATAATGAAATATAGTGTTTACCAAGAAGCTTAACGGAAATGATGCGCAACATTTTATTTTATGTTCAACATGGAGTAGGTGTGCCTTATTTTCAGTTACACTGTATCATGGATACAATTGCAATATAAATAATGTATTGGTGGCTCTACAAAAGTGCATGAGCAACTGCATGTTCCCGGCACACACACGCACAAGAAATGCAATAGTTTGAATATCACTTGTGCAGGTCATGCAATTTTAAATCTGTAGTTTGAGGCACGTCTTTAATACGTGTTAACCGTTTCCATACTGGGCACATTTACCCCCTTCCTGCCCAGGCCATTTTTCAGGTTTCAGTGTTCTCACACTTTGAATGACAATTCCGCGGTCATACAACATTGTACCCAAATTAAAATTTTATCATTTTCTTCACACAACTAGAGCTTTATTTTGGTAGTATTTAATCACTGCTGGGGTTTTTATTTTTTGCTAAATTAACAAAAAAAGACCGAAAATGTTGAAAAAAAAACCGCGTTTTTCTTTCTCTGTTATAAAAGTTTGCAAATAAATAATTGTTCTTCATAAATTTAGGCCAAGATGTATTCTGCTGCATGTTTTGGTGAAAATAACCCAAATTAGGATGTATTATTTAGTTTGTAGGAAAGTTATAGAGTTCACAAACTGGGATATATCTGAATATTGATCAATCCTGAAGTACTGACAGCCAATCTAATTTCCTGAGGTCCACGAATGTCAGAACAGTACAGATATCCCCCAAATTACCCCTTTTTGCAGAGTAGACAGTCCGACGTACTTCATAAGAGGCATGGCGACTTTTTTGAAGTTTTTTGTTTCTTTTGTCATAATTTTTCGGAAAATGAAAAAATTTAATATTTTCACAATTTATTTTTTTTACATACTCTCACCAGTGCAGTACAGCGTCATCATATAACTGGCATGGTGGTGATCAGGGACACTGACTGGTGACAGTATGAAAAAAAATATATAATTTTTTTTTATATTTTTAAATTTTTTATAACATTTTTTCTCTTTTTTTAAGATTTGTTTTTCATATTTCACTATGACCAAAGTAGTACAATGTTACCATGTAGTAACATTGTACTACTTTGGGGAAGTGATCAGTATTTTATTTATTTTTTTTTTTACACAAATTGCTTGTAGCAAAGAATTACCTTATTTTTCGCTCCATAAGACGCACCTGACCATAAGACGCACCTAGTTTTAGAGGCGAAAAAAAAATATTCTGAACCAATGGACTGCAGACATAGTACAGGGGATGACCAGAGACTGCGGACACAGTACAGGGGATGACCAGAGACTGCGGACACAGTACAGGAGATGGACCAGAGACTGCGGACACAGTACAGGGGATGGACCAGAGACTGCGGACACAGTACAGGGGATGGACCAGAGACTGCGGACACAGTACAGGGGATGGACCAGAGACTGCGGACACAGTACAGGGGATGACCAGAGACTGCGGACACAGTACAGGGGATGACCAGAGACTGCGGACACAGTACAGGGGATGACCAGAGACTGCGGCACAGTACAGGGGATGACCAGAGACTGCGGACACAGTACAGGAGATGACCAGAGACTGCGGACACAGTACAGGAGATGACCAGAGACTGCGGACACAGTACAGAAGATGACCAGAGACTGCGGACACAGTACAGAAGATGACCAGAGACTGCGGACACAGTACAGAAGATGACCATAGACTGCGGACACAGTACAGAAGATGACCAGAGACTGCGGACACAGATGACCAGAGACTGCGGACACAGTACAGGAGATGACTAAGAGACTGCGGACACAGTACAGGAGATGACCAGAGACTGGGGACACAGTACAGGAGATGACCAGAGACTGGGGACACAGTACAGGAGATGACCAGAGACTGGGGACACAGTACAGGAGATGACCAGAGACTGGGGACACAGTACAGGAGATGACCAGAGACTGGGGACACAGTACAGGAGATGACCAGAGACTGGGGACACAGTACAGGAGATGACCAGAGACTGGGGACACAGTACAGGAGATGGCCAGAGACTGGGGACACAGTACAGGAGATGGCCAGAGACTGCGGACACAGTACAGGGGATGGCCAGAGACTGCGGACACAGTACAGGGAAAATACCAGGGACACAGTACAGATGACCAGAGACTGCAGACAGGGCAGGGGATGACCAGAGACTGCAGACAGGGCAGGGGATGACCAGAGACTGCTGACCTTTGGGGAGGGGGAGCGGGTACCTGAATTTGACAGGCACCCGCTCCCACTTCTGCGGAGTTGTCTTTCCCTCTTCTTCCCGCACCGGCTTCTGTGACAGCCGGTCGTCAACTGCGCATGCGCGAGAAGCGCTGCGCTTTGTGAATAGCCTGGCGCCTTCTGGGACCTGCCATGTGTCCCAGAAAACACTGGACCATTCACAAAGCGCAGCGCATGCGCAGTGGGCACCCGGCTGTCACAGAAGCCAGCGCGGGAAGACTGTGCAGCGCTGGAGCAAGGAACAGGTAAGGCCCTGCAAGAGAGAACAGCTGAGCGGCCGGCCCGGTATTCTGACATGGTGGCGGCAGCGGCAGAAATATACCGGACCGGCCGCTTTATATTCGCTCCATAAGACGCACTGACATTTTCCCCCCTTTTTTGGGGGGAAAAAAGTGCGTCTTATGGAGCGTAAAATACGGTACTTTGCTATAAGCAAGCATTTACCTGAATGACATTGATTCGTTCAGGGTTTTTTTTTGGTTTTTTTTTTTGTGCTTAGCTGTGATTTGGCCATGGCTAATCACATGACACAGCTGGGCTGTGATTGGCCCAGCTTGTGCATGTGATCGCTGTGACCATTTACAGCTAGACACACTAGTATACAATGGATGGCATGAATGAAGCCATCCATTGTATACAACTGTCATGTGACCTGCTGTGATTGGTCACAGCAGGTCACATGGTACTGGCAACGGGGCCGGTACTCAGATCTGTCATCGGCCATGTCCGAGGTACACGGCCGGTGACAGGCTGCGCAGCTTTGCAGGTGCGCAAACTGCGCATGCCCGAAAGGACGCCATATAGCGTCCACCTGTAACGTTAAAGGAATTTTTCCGGCTGCCAATCGGCCATTGGTCGGGCGGCAAGAGGTTAATGTGTATTGCGATGCCACATACAATACATTTGCAGTATAGCACAGTGCAACCACAAGACATATACCTTGTTTTGTGGTGTGTGTGTGTGTATGTATGTGTGTATATATATATATATATATATATATATATATATATATATATATATATATGTGTGTATACACACACTCGCGCCCATATATATATTTGGATACAGGCAAAATTTTAGTTTTTTTCATGTATTTACCAAAGTATATTCAAGCTATAGTTATATAATGGATATGTGCACATTCTCAGGTTTAATTTGACGGTATAACTTAAAGGAATGCGCTAAAACCACAAACTATTCCTAATTTAGTGTAGAAACATTAGTGCAAAAAGATATATATATATCTATTCTCAATTATCAAAAAATATCAAAATTATGTGCAAAACTATTTTTTAGTGCATAAGTAATTTAAATAATTAAATTTGTGAATATAAAAATTGTCCAATTTTGAATTTCTTCAAATGTCCAAACAAATCCTTTTCAAATTCAAGTGCTCTCAAAGAAATTGTGCCAAAATCCACCACCAAAATAAAGTTGGGTAACTCACCAGAGCTCCATGCTGATCAATCTCTAGATCAGCAAAAAACGCTTTTTGCTCTGGGAGCAGATGCAATAAATCAACTTCTCAGGTGTGATGATCAATAGCTACACAATCATCCATAAGGTAGGTATCCACCACTCAATATAACGGTTCCAGGAGCATTATATCACTCTCTCTTTTTATATCTCTCCACCGAGGTCATGTTTGGGAATGAAAGAAAAAATCATGGTGCAGCCAGTTTTTTTATAAAAGTATCCAACAATTTAATAAAGATTTACACTCACAAAAAGGGTGTCTTCACCGACACCAGTATAACAGCATAAAACAGCAAATGGTATAACAGTCTCCTGTTCCCCTCACACTCACTACAGCGCTCGTGACTCAATCCTCTCCACAGACGTCAGCATCCAGCAAGCTAAGCCCTACTAGTTTCGTCATGAATGACGTCTTCAAGGGGCGCCCCTTGAAGACGTCATTCATGACGAAACTAGTAGGGCTTGGCTTGCTGGATGCTGACGTCTGTGGAGAGGATTGAGTCAC